TACTTTTTGCTGATGATGTGGAACTTTGGAGAGAGTGATACGCAACCAAGAGGATAAACTGGCAGTTCAGGAGGATCTGACTCGACTTCAAAGTTGGGCAGATGATGACGGACTTACCTTTCATACTTCAAAGTGTAAAGTAGTCCATCTCAGACATGTTGCGGACTATAGTTACAACTTAGGCGACTCTTCTCTAGAAGTATCTGAAGATGAAAATGATTTAGGAGTGCTAGTACCCTACGATTTGAAGTCTTACGCTAACTGTGACAAAAATGCCTTCCGAGTAAACCTTGCAATGATAACGTTGAGGCGCATTTTCGGTCAGTTCGACGGAGGAAATTTCCACATAATCTCCAGCAGTTTTATTCAACCTTCTTTAGAGTAAGAAAACATAGTATTCCTCCTTCACCCCGAAAGGATAAAGACACTCTGGAACGCACCCAACAGGGGGCCACGAAATCATTTGGAGCACTCAAATTCAAGTCTCATGAAGAGTGTCTCCAATCACTGAACCAATACCCGTTAGAGTATAGGCGTCCTAGAGGTGACCTTTTAGTAGCTTACAGCATCCTTAACACTTCTGGAAATCCCCTTAAACACCTACTTGAGCTTAGTTCTAATACAAACCTTGAGGGTAACGCCTAGAATTTGGAGACAACTCAGGAGAATTGACTGTAGACAAAAATTCTACTCCTTTAGAGTAGTCAAACACTGGAATTCGCTGAGCTAGCCCAAGTGACTTCTCAGGAGTTCTTTGAGAGGAAATTTAGCATACTTTTAAGGACCAAGGACAGTATCCCACTATGATTTAACAACCTTTTTTCTCTTTCCTCTTTCATCATTAACATACCTACGTTCCTGTCTAGAGGTGTCTGTGATTCACTGCTATTAGATACGGAAACTAGTTAAGCGAAAGCTTCTTCTATTCCGTCCAGAACCATCTAAACCATTTGGTACCGAACTATTAGACAAATGTACATCGAAAAGGCAGATTATTTGAGGGCTACGTTGCGGTAATTTGCTACACACATGTCTGATCAGCTAAGATCGTGAGGGATTTGATCATTTCACCGTATTATGTATTTCGTGCCTCCCCAGCAGTCTAGTATTACAAATGAATTTGCCATGTTAGATTTAGATGATAGATAAATTACACTGAGTACTGTATAACATACGTTATCCAATCTAGATTGTATACTATAACAGGATCAAATTCTAAATTTTATGCAAAAGTTAGAATTTGACCCTGTTATATTATTGCTGAATAAGTAGTTTATGGATATGTTTTTATGTATAGCACATAATTTCACTGTTTTCAGACCTCAGCAACAACCACGGTAGGCTAATATCCATGGTAACGTTCTCAGTGTTCGTTGTAAAAATAAAATTTCTCCGTCTAACCATTCACTGGTAACGCTGATGTCTATTCTTTTGGTAGAGCGTTCCAGTAGTTAATTAACTGATTCGGAACACGGATTCTTAACTTAGGTCAAGATCAGCTGATCTTGTTTGATCGTATTTTTCTAATATCTATTTCTGTAGTAGCTTTAGATTATGGTATCTGAAGAGCAAACAGACTAAATACGTTGATACAGAGTTGTAATGTCATGCCGTTTATCATTCTAGTATGTTATGGAGAAAAGAGCTCTAATGATCCAATTATTGGTCACCACTTACCATAGGACTGAATCTACTTAGGTCGAAGGCTCCGGATGTGGCCCTCCAAGAAACCCATCTGCTTCGGTTTGAGCACCCGGTTACTTTCACAGCCCACACACAAACCATGTGACTCGTGTGGCGCGTGTGTATTCGGTGCCCCTATGTAGTAATATTTGTGTGTTCAAAAAACCGTCAAGTGCTCGTTCTAATCCAATGAGAATTTAAATAAACATACCTGTCTAGAAACACTATGTTCTCCACTGTAATGTAAATTTTCAAAAGCTATGGTCTAGTTTAATGTGTGCTGGTATTCCGTGAGCAGATAAATCCTAACTGCTTTCAAGATGTTGCTCTAAACATAATCACTGGCCTTCTGACAAAAAACATGTCTGTGAGAAATTAAACTGACAATTCCACCGACTTAACACCAGAAGGCTCTATTCGTTCATCTGTTGTCCTCAATATGTCACTTGTGTGTAAATAAATTGTTAGTTATAAAGTTCGGCCACGGTCTGTAAAGTAGGTAAACCGGTCACTAAATGAAGTAATATTTTTATTTTATTTTATTTGAACACATGAATATTGGTACAAGAGAGCGCCAATATATATGCGCCACACAAAACAATGAGAATTCGAAAAGAAATAGAAAAAAATCTAAGGAGCGCAAAAAAAAGAGAACAATAACGAAGAGATTAGTGTAAGGTAGTGTGGTAGTAACGAGGGAACGGAAAGGTACAATCAGAAGAAATCTTTCAGGTAAGGGAGACGCAACCACTTTTTATAAAGAAAGTAAAAGAAGGTTACAGCAGGAACGCCACTGGCTTCTATTCTGAGCCATATCTGATAACGTCTCTAGCCACTGTGTTGCACCATCTCTAGGACCCCAGCCAGGGAGCCGTGAAGGACCAACAGAAGCCAACCCATTGCAGCTTTCTTCCATACTTCAACACCATGTCATGCACTGACCACCTCTCTGCATCTTCCAACCAGTCCCAGAGTCGGCAAATAATGCACGACGTGGAATTCTCTGGGACGACATTCGGAGAACATGTTCAAGCCACCGAAGTCGGTGTTCCAAGATGGTGACACCAATTGAATTATCATCTCTGTGCCCGAACACGATGCCGAACCTCTGCATTACTAACATGGTGTTGCCACTGGATGTCAGCAATCCTCCGGAGACAACGATGATCGAACACAGAGAGTCGTCTAACGTCCTCAACTCGGAGAGGCCAGGTTTCACAAGCATAGAGCAAAACTGCTCTCACCGACGCGTTGTAGATCCGACCTTTTACGGCCAGACTAACATCACGAAGGCGCCAAAGGTGGCCGAGATTGGCATAAGCCGCTCTGGCTTTCACTATTCGTGCATTGATCTCATCACTCACACCCCCACCAGCACTTATGCAGCTACCCAGATACACGAACTTCTCAACTACGTCTATCTGCTCACCGTCCAGGGTGAGCACAGGATTAGAATCCTGCCAGTCTTGTAGAAGTACTTTGCACTTCGAAGGTGCAAAGCACATACCATACCTACGGACACTGATTGCCAACTGATTAAGTGCGGATTGCATGCCTTGAGCATTATCGCACAGTAAGACAATATCGTCCGCATACTCAAGGTCGAGAAGTCTTTCTCCAGGCAACAGATCCACACCACCATTACTTACATTCATCAGAGCTGTTTCCAGAATGTCATCGATGGCAAAGTTGAAGAGGAATGGTGAGATTGGGCAACCCTACCTAACCCCATTGCTCGAATGGAACAATGGAGAGAGGTGGTTGTATGCCCTCACTCTGCCTGAGGTGTTTTTATACAGGGCTTTTAGGATGTTAATAAACTTCTCAGGCACACCCTTCTTCAATAGACAATCCCAGAGAACAGTCCTGTCCAACGAATCGAAGGCAGCCCTAATGTCAAGAAACACTACGATTGTTGGCCTTTGATAAGTATGGCGGTGTTCTAATATTTGGCGGAGGGTGAAGATATGATCAATACATCCTCGACTAGAACGAAAACCAACCTGCTCCTCGCAAGTAATAAACACTTGTTGACTGTAGTTATGATGACTTATTGTTCATTTTGAACTACCGACTTACTGTGTTACTGCAGAAATTCCAAAACAAAAATCTTCGTCATAAAATGAAGACTTCTTAACAATCTGCGAAATTTGTCGATGTTGATTTTATGTAGAAAGCTATTAAGTGGGAGAAAGCCCTGATACAGCTGAGAGTCGAGATTTTACGACCTCTCTAAGGTAATTACTGCGTTCATATCAATAGGATGTCGCCTACGAAAATTAGAAGGGAAAAACAGACGTCTGTCATGAGCCTACGCTAACAATCACTATGCAGTGTCCCGTCAGAAGTGACTGAAAAATTTGTATCGGAGTAGTTCTGTGGATGCTGATAGTGGTGTGACAGATGAAATCAATTTACAAATAGTGAAAGCGTAAGTGGCTTAAGCTAGTATGGCCTATCTTTGAGACCGTCATGATGTTAACCTGCTTTGAAAGGTCGGATCAACAATGTGTCAGTGAGGGAAGTTCTACTCTACGCTTACAGAATCTGGTCCCCCCCTGTTGAGTTTGTTTAACTATTCGCTGTGTTAGATCATCGTTGGTGACATCCAGTGTCAACACATGTGTGTAATTCTGAAGTACGTCAATATCTGCTTAAGCGCGGTGACGACGATCCGGTTGGTGTCACCATTAAAGCACTGACTGTATTCTTTCTTGTATCCCATTCCCCCTCCGTCTCTTCTTTCTTCAAAACTATGTCTTTTGATTTGTGTGGCGCAGTTTATTTTTCGGTGCTAGGTTTTAACAGATTCTATGTGAAGTAAGTAGTTGATAACTGAGGTTTTCAGGATGCTTTAAATTAAAGAGCTAAAACACATATGCAATCATAAAATTGATAAGAATGACAGATTTATGCATTCAATAACTGTAAATCATTTCTTATTTACTCACATTACTGCGATTGGCTCTGACAATTATTTTCGTTTTCATACTCTTTTAAAATGCAATGACATTTAAGTTGTTATGAATGCTTGAAGCTTTTGAACTCTTATCCTAACATACATTTTTTAAATATTTGTTAGGACATTAAAAATATTCAGGTCTAAATGATATTTATTTTGTACACTGCCGAATAACTTGATTAACTTATTTTGTGGTTATTAGTAACTGAATTACAGTTATTCTTTACTATGTTATACATTGATTTCTCAATCACCTCATATCAGTTTTGTTCTGGAAAAGCTTTTGATAAACCTGTTTGCTTATTCAAATTTCAGGTAGCGGTTGGTATTCAGAAGATTATATTCATTCACAATCATGGTATTTGTTAGTAAGTTATCCACTAAAATTTTACTTGTATTTAAGGTTGGGCCAGTGATGGACTGAGGATATACGAGTTAGATGAAAATAAAGGGATTATTCAATTGGAATAGTATGTTTGAATATTTTTCATAAAGATATTTTAGCAAATCATCTACAACTGTGAAATGTTTATCTATCGCAAAGTCAAGCATGTGGATGGGTTACCTTGATGAAACTAGGTAAGGATTATTTAGTTTTGCTTTATACGTCACAGTGTAGTTATGCTTGACGTCAATGATCGATCTGTCGTTTCCACTATCCCTGTTGAGCCAGCTTCACGGATTCAGCTATCACCGTGTGGAAAATTTGGATTCATCTACACGTCATTTAAAAGTAAGTTTTATTCCTTAGTTTATAAACTTGATTTTAATGAATAATAGTCGACAATGAACATCCATCTGGTTCGCCAAATATATTTGTGTACGACATGATCAATAGAACAAAGCTCAAAGAGTATATTTTCCGAAGAGGTGATGGATGGTAAGCTTTTATTATTGATACGAATGATTCGCATTATTCAGTTAACTGAAAACAATCTTCCCATCCTTTATCACAAATAAAATTACAGCCAGTAATTAATGTTTCCTTTTTGAACTATTATGATCAGATAGGCTATAACACTTTGTTTGACATTCTTCTTACATATAACCAGTCATCAAGCAACCTTTATGCATTAACGTAATTAGATTACTAATAATTAAAATTTATATATGAAACTATTGTTAACTAAAAAATGTAATTACCTTCACTCGTGTATGCTTAACACATTGTAACAAACTTTATTTCTAGTTATATTTAAACATGTCAACTGAGTTATAGATCACACATTTTTTGGATGAATTTTTATACTTAGCCTACATGTTTACATATAAATAGGATGGTAGAGTTAAAGCCTTTCAGCAGATAAACAAAAGTTATTTACTACTCCATCCCATTCGGAATTTGTGTGTGAAATTGTAGATGTTTGTCACGTTATAAAAAGTTTACCAAACAATCAGCCATAAACAACGTAAAAATTAATATATATGTGCATCGGTTTAAGTTGGCACACTCTATAAACACATTCAGACGAAATTGTCAATTCAAATCTCAGGGTAATAGATGTAGCAATAATACTAGTGGTAATGAAAATGTTTGGGGACAAGAATATATTCCGATGAAAATATGGATAAGTGAGATAATAAAGTTTTTGTCATGTAATTTAGAAACTTCAAATCTGAGCAAAGGTAACCCGATCGTTGTTGATACCTTGACATGGTGGTCGGGCTTGCCTATCGTGATGAAACAACCGAGCTATACTGGCTGGAACAACCGTTCCTCAAGGTGCTACCATGTCAGACAGGTCGGTTGAAGAGCGGTAAGACTAAAAGCAACAAACCCAAGGTCCATCATTTTCATTATATTCTGCTCTATGCTTGTGAAACCTGGCCTCTCCGAGTTGAGGACGTTAGACGACTCTCTGTGTTCGATCATCGCTGTCTCCGGAGGATTGCTGACATCCAGTGGCAACACCATGTCAGTAATGCAGAGGTTCGGCATCGTGTGTTCGGGCACAGAGACGATAATCCAATCGGCGTCACCATCTTGAAACGCCGACTTCGGTGGCTTGAACATGTTCTCCGAATGTCGTCCCAGAGAATTCCACGTCGTGCATTATTTGCCGACTCTGGGACTGGTTGGAAGATGCAGAGAGGTGGTCAGTGTATGACATGGTGTTGAAGTATGGAAGAAAGCTGCAATGGGTTGGCTTCTGTCGGTCCTTCACGGCTCCCTGGTTGGGATTTGAGAGATGGTGCAACACAGTGGCTAGAGACGTTATCAGATATGGCTCAGAATAGAAGCCAGTGGCGTTCCTGCTTTAACCTTCTTTTACTTTCTTCATAAAAATGGTTGTTTCTTCCTTAACTGAGAGATTTCTTCTGGTTGCACCTACCCGTTTCCCCCATTATTATTATTATTATTATTATTATTATTATTATTATTATTATTATTATTATTATTATTATTATTATTATTATTATTATTATTATTATTATTATTATTATTATTATTATTATTACACTTCCTTACACTAATCGGGTCGTTTTTTTCTCTTCGAATTCTCACTGTTTTGTGTGGCGCATATATATCTGGTGCTCCCTTGTACCAATATTTATGTGTTCAAATAAATATTAATAACAAATAAACCCAAAGTCCGAAGGCGAAGTCGTACTGCTGACTGTACAGAGGTGTGACAGCAGTAAGGTGTTTCCTTCAGACAACCAGCATGACAGCGATGCTGCCTTCCCACAAGGAGGGGTAGAGTTAGAAAAGGTCGATCCTAAAAATGCACACCTCGCCTCATCCCACGGATATCCGTCTCCGGCGGTAAGGTCTCAACAAGTACGGATCTAACCGACCTCAAACAGTTGTCCCTTGGGCACTGCGGTCACGCTCCTAGGTCACTAAGACCACCTCTAATCCGATTTCCTTTTCAGGTACCTTCAGAACAACCCTTCCACAGTGTGGGCAACCGGGAAGTGATAACCTTCCCCATACCTCTAACAACACTCAAGACCACTGTATTCATAATCAACCTTCACTTGTTATTATTCCTACTACATCGACTCCAAACTCTAAACTTACTCTTTCGGCTTCCTCCTCAAGTGTCACCATAGCCAACGGTTCTAGTGCACAAAACACTGTCCCAGGTCTACTGAAACGTCGCTCCAAACTACACATTGCAGCCTTCAACGTACACACCCTATGCCAAATCGGTCAGCAGGCTTTCTTGGCTAAAACCCTAGAATCTCGTAACATTGATGTATGCTGTGTCTCTGAAACACGCATACAGGACCCCAGTGTGGTCATTCACTTGACCCCACCTTGGCAACACGGAGAGCCAACGAGATACACTCTCCGTGTATCTGGTGACCTGACTGCCAGTTCTCGTGGACTGGCAGGAGTAGGGATAGCACTAAGCATGAGGTCGGAACAAGCACTGTTAGAGTGGATCCCCGTTAACAGTCGTTTATGTGCTGTTCGGCTAAACGGTTCCGTAAGAACTCGGAAGGATAGGGACACACGTCGTTGCCGTTTTGTCGTTTCTGCCTACGCTCCCACCGACTGCAGCTCTGATGAAATGAAAGATGAATTTTACAGAGAGCTATCTGAACTTCTTCAGAAAGCTAAACGTTCAGACAAAGTACTCGTAGCAGGTGACTTTAATGCCCAGATAGGTAGTTTAAATCAAACAGAAAGGCATTTAAGTGGGTATTTTAGTATTCCGGCACAACGAACAGATAATGGTGATCGTCTGCTGCAATTGTGCTCAGACAATCGTTTATTTTTAGCAAACACAAATTTTTAACATAAGGAAAGACATCGTCTAACATGGAGACCCCCTACACCAAACCAACGATGGACTCAAATAGACCATATTGCCATCAGTCATCGTTGGAGAGGGTCAGTAGAAGATTGTCGCTCATTCTGGAGTACCTGCTTGGACTCCGACCATGCCCTAATACGGGCACGCATCTGCTTGCGCCTCACTGGATGCAAAAAGCCACAGTAAAAAGACCCATTAGAATTGAATTGTCCTGTTTGTTGAAGACGCTGATAAAATGCAGTCTTTTTGTAGCACGGAGCAACAATGCCAGAATGTTTGGAATGCACTTTTCCTCCTCTAAATGCAAGTTATTTCTTCAGGACTGGCCTGCATCAACACCTGAACTAAGGATAGGGAGTGAAGTGGTCGAACGCGTCGGCTCCAGAGGTCTTTAAGGATGGTGGTCCAATTTTAGCGATTAGGTTGACTAATATTTTATCTAAGATCTGGGAGTTGGACGTTATCCCATCTGACTGGTCACAATCAATTATCGTCCTAATATATAAGAGTGGGTCAAAATCATCCTGTGACATAAAGAGTTCATCATTTGTCCGTTGGATAGGACTGTTTTCTGGGATTGTCTATTGAAGAAGGGTGTGCCTGAGAAGTTTATTAACATCCTAAAAGCCCTGTATAAAAACACCTCAGGCAGAGTGAGGGCATACAACCACCTCTCTCCATTGTTCCATTCGAGCAGTGGGGTTAGGCAGGGTTGCCCAATCTCACCATTCCTCTTCAACTTTGCCATCGATGACATTCTGGAAACAGCTCTGATGAATGTAAGTAATGGTGGTGTGGATCTGTTGCCTGGAGAAAGACTTCTCGACCTTGAGTATGCGGACGATATTGTCTTACTGTGCGATAATGCCCAAGGCATGCAATCCGCACTTAATCAGTTGGCAATCAATGTCCGTAGGTATGGTATGTGCTTTGCACCTTCGAAGTGCAAAGTACTTCTACAAGACTGGCAGGATTCTAATCCTGTACTCACCCTGGACGGTGAGCAGATAGACGTAGTTGAGAAGTTCGTGTATCTGGGTAGCTGCATAAGTGCTGGTGGGGGTGTGAGTGATGAGATCAATGCACGAATAGTGAAAGCCAGAGCGGCTTATGCCAATCTGGGCCATCTATGGTGCCTTCGTGATGTTAGTCTGGCCGTAAAAGGTCGGATCTACAACGCGTCGGTGAGAGCAGTTTTGCTCTATGCTTGTGAAACCTGGCCTCTCCGAGTTGAGGACGTTAGACGACTCTCTGTGTTCGATCATCGTTGTCTCCGAAGGATTGCTGACATTCAGTGGCAACACCATGTCAGTAATGCAGAGGTTCGGCATCGTGTGTTCGGGCATAGAGATGATAACTCAATTGGTGTCACCATCTTGAAACACCGACTTCGGTGGCTTGGACATGTTCTCCGAATGTCGTCCCAGAGAATTCCACGTCGTGCATTATTTGCCGACGCCGAGACTGGTTGGAAGAAGCGGAGAGGTGGTCAGTGCATGACATGGTGTCGTGGCATGAAAGAAAGCTGCAAAGGACTGGCTTGTGTTGGTCCTTCACGACTCCCTGGCTGGGGTCCGAGTGATGGTGCTACACAGTGACTAGAGACGTTATCAGATATGGCTCAGAATAGAAGCCAGTGGCGATCCTGCTGTAACCGTCTTTTACTTTCTTCATAAAAAGTGGTTGTGTCTCCTTTACCTGAAAGATTTCTTCTGATTGTACCTCTTCGTCATTACTCTCTTTTTCTTTTGCGTACCTTAGTTTTTTTTCTTTTTCTTTTTACTTCTCTTCGAATTCCCATTGTTTTGTGTGGCGCATATATATTGGCGCTCTCTTGTGCCAATATTTATGTGTTCAAATAAATAAATAAATAAATAAAATCCTGTGACAACCATAGAGGGATTATACGAATATTCGTCAAGATTAGAACGAATAGTTTGACAGTAATTGAGCGCCGAGTATAGAGAAGTCATTATATGTGAAAATTATATTTGAAATATTCTCAGCGATTGAAATTTAACTAATTCCAACGTTTCGTCCAGCTAACTTGTCTGGACTTCTTCAGGGTAACTAATATATTATCTAAAATACTAGCCTCGATAATTATCAGACGCTTAACTAAGACTCGTGAACTGCAAACACGAGAGACTCAAGCTGGCTTCAGACCTGGTCGTGGCTGCATCGACCACATATTCACCATTCGTCAGATTCTAGAACACAGGCATACTTATCGGCGTCCGACAATGGTGGTCTTTCTTGACTTGAAAGCAGCATTTGATTCGGTAGACCGCGAGATTCTGTGTCAGTGTCTGTCACTGAAAGGCGTACCTCAGAAGTACATAAACCTTGTGAAGGCTCTTTACTTGGATATTACCAGTCGAGTCAGAGCTTATGGCGAACTGTCATCTGCTTTTGCAACCTCAAGTGGTGTCCGTCAAGGCTGTCCACTTTCTCCATTTTTGTTTAACTTCATCATAGACCTATTGATGGAAATAACATTCTCGTCGACTGAATTCTCGGGTATTGATCTCCATCCATGAGGTCCTTTTATCGACTTAGAATACGCAGATGACATAGTCCTTTTTGGTGAAGACGCTGACAAAATGCAGAGTCTTTTGATAGCACTAAGCAACAATGCCAGAATGTTTGGAATGCGCTTCTCTCCCTCTAAATGCAAGTTGTTGCTTCAGGACTGGCCTGCGTCAACACCTGAACTAAGGATAGGGAGTGAAGTAGTCGAACGCGTTGACAACTTCACTTATCTTGGAAGTCTGATCAGACGTAATGGGCTGGTCTCTGACGAAATCGCAGCACGGATTCGAAAAGCTCGTTTGGCTTTTGCCAACTTACGTCACCTTTGGCGAAGGCGAGATATCCGTCTATCAATTAAGGGACGAGTATACTGTGCGGCAGTTCATTCTTTTCTACTTTACGGTAGCGAAGCATGGCCTTTAAGAGTAGAAGACACTCGTAAGCTACTAGTATTCGACCACAGATGCCTTAGAAATATTGCTCGCATCTTCTGGGATCACTGGGTAAGTAATAGTGCGGTTAGACGCATGGTATTAGGTAATGATAGTAAATCAGTTGATGAGGTTGTGAATCTTTATCGACTGAGATGGTTGGGCCACGTGTTACGTATGCCTGAACACCGATTACCACGACGTGCAATGCTAACGGGTGTTAGAGATGGTTGGAAGAGAATTAGGGGCGGCCAAACCAAAACGTGGCATCAGTGCTTGGAGTCACTAACTTCTAGTCTGAGCCATGTTGGTAGATGCAGACTACTTGGTTGGGGTCCACGTGACTATCGTAACCAATGGTCGGAGACTCTTGGTGACATGGCTCAGAATCGATCACAATGGCGTAGGTGTATACACTTTCTGTCTTTCCTTAAACTAAAAGAATAAAATCACTTCATATCTTTCTTCCTGCTAACTAATTCTTTCTTCCTGTACTATATCCTTATACACAATCTTTCTTTTATATATTACCACCATTGACTTAACCACTCCTTTGAATCTGGTGTTTATCTTGCTGTGCTAATGATGTATGGCAAGGTGGACCGATGCATATATATGTGCTTGATCCTACGTTGTAGCTGACTGACTGTTTGAGCAAAGGTAAAAGGCCGCTTCACCTGCCCTATTTTAGGTAACTCTGAACTGTATCACTTAATGTCTCTGATGATGTGCTGCGATAATCGCGCGGACCCTAACTAGGTAGTCTGAAGCTGTCCACACAACTCATTTCAACAGCCAGTGACTTCATGGACTGATGTCATATTTTGATTTGCTCACCCTTATCTTCCAACCTATTCCTTCACTATCTCTCGTCATACATCAAGTTAGGCAGTGGATGCACACACGTAACACATGTTTAACCAGTCTCAATCGATGAATATCCACTACCTTATCAGTCGACTTGTCATCCTTATCTAGTACTTTGCGTCCAACTTCAGAATTGCTAATTCAATAATCTCAACATGTGAGAGCTTCTAAGTCATCTGTAGTCAACTTTTAGCAACCCGCAAACATCTTCTAAAAACTTCCATGTTGACAGAAGTATTGTCTTCAAATATTCTAATTAGAGTTTCATTTGCTCTGATCTTTTGTTATTCCAGTTTTTATTGCATGCCAATATATATTGTTTCTTTATTGTAACATAAACTGAATTGCTTTTATTGGTATGATTTCACTAAGCTATTTATAAATTAAGTAATTCAAATATGTAAATTAAACGAATCGTGCGAACCTTTGTTGATAAGGCTACAATTTTTCAGGAGGGTATGTTGACTAAGAGCGGATCTTGGTGTCATAACCAGCCTAAATGTTCGCATGATAACCACACTGTCTTTGATGCGATTCCTTAATTCTCTCATATATTAAATTTACTAGGCAACCACAATGGAATTCCGATTCATCCTTTTGCTCGATTTTTGTCAATGGAGAAATTCATATGTATACAAACAATCTATTTTGTGAGTTTCCATGTGAAAATTGTACTTAATTTTGCTAAGTCACTTAGCTTTTGCAGAAGAAAATGGGAGTAGTCCCTTATCCTTTGAACGAATAATGACCATATGTTTACTAGTGATTGATTTTGAGAGTAGCTTCTCAGACTTTGAGTGAGAAACTGTTACTCACCAACAGCATTGTATAATGGTTGCACAGTTTCCCAAATTGGTTGGATTTAAAAGTGTAAACCTTTGGATGTCGACTTGGTAGTCTGAAAACTAAGTGTGGTTAGGTCATGCATTCATACTGCTGAGGAGTTTCATACTGGAAAGAAAACTTTACCTGTGTTTACTGAGTCTTGGTGGTTGTCTAAGTTCAGTTCGTGATGTAACCTACAAATTTCAAAAATCTCCATAAACCACCATATTAATCAGGCGTACTTATAATTTTATTCATTATATCTATCATCTTACTTACTTACTTACACCTGTTACTCCCAATAGTGGATAGGCCACCGACCAGCATTCTCCAACCCACTCTATCCTGAGCCTTCTTTTCTAGTTCCATTCAATTCTTGTTCATTTTTCTCATGTCTATTTCCATTTCTCGGCGTAATGTGTTCTTTGGTCTTACTCTTTCCCTTTGGCCTTGAGGATTCCATGTGAGGGCTTGTCTTGTGACGCAGTTGGGTGCCTTCCTCAATGTGTGTCCTATCCACTTCCAGCGCTTCTTCCTAATTTCTTCCTCCGCTGGGATCTGGTTTGTTCTCTCCCATAGTAGGCTGTAACTGATAGTGTCCGGCCAACGGATCCGAAGTATTTTGCGTAGACAACTGTTAGTAAACACCTGTATCTTCTGGATGATGGCCTTCGTAGTTCTCCAGGTTTCTGCCCCATACAGTAGAACTGTCTTGACATTTGTATTGAAAATCCTGACCTTGGTGTTGGTTGAACATTGCAATATACGGTCCTTAATTAATCCAAAGGTAAAAATATTTTATTTTTCCTTGCAACCTAACTGAGGTTCAATATTTTTCGGCTACACTTTCGAATTCTTTATCAAGTGTCCCATGTTTTTGAAGCATTAAATTAAATACCAGAGCTTCACTCGAATGGCTAGAAGTGGTATAAAGTAACTTGCTAATTTTATTTTACGATAATAGTTTTTTGTTTTAAAGTATTCTCTCGATTTAAAAGTTGTTGTAAAATCGTGATTATTTACCTGAAAATAATGTCGAAGATTTCTCTAGTCAACGGCTATTTTGATGTTTATTGTTAATGTTTCAGGCTATTGGTTTAGTCCTGATTTAATCATAGTTGTAGCGTTGCTTTCGGTCTTCACGGACAAGTATTGAATGTTTATGGGCTAATTTAGATTAGCTTTCAAACCATTGTGTTTTTTTTCAATTCGGTAAACATTTCCAATCAAAATTCTCACGTTGTTTTGTCTGTTCTGTGTGCCATCAATTTATTTTTAGCTAAACTGATTACATTACTAGCGAGTAGCATAACGTTTTACATGGTGATTTGTTAACCGGAATAATACCCTGAAACATAAAATTTTGTCGAAAATAGAGTAATCAATACTTGATTGATGATTTCTTATGTTTCATTGAATTGCGTTCCAAATATTTTCGTCTAATATATAAGTGTAGTGAATTATAGTAATGTATAACTCATAATGACTTTTATGGGCGAAAAGGCTTTTATATGAACATTTGCCTATGGAATTTTTGGGTTATATTTGTCTTTTTAGAAAGATTTCGTCTACATAATATAATACAGAAATATCTCAACTATCGTCTCATACGCCAGAGCAGAATTTGGTTGATAGGTGGCTTTTTAAAATCGTTCACCTTAAAGCAGTTACTTGTCCCATTCATAGAATATTACTGTAATCCAGTTAAAACTGTAAAAGGCGATTACAACTGATGATCATAATCTACGTTTTGTATGCACATTTGATTGATTAGTATATAGGTCTACTAGATTGCTTGGGATATGTGTCTGATTTGCTGCTACTACGTTTAAATCCATCGATGTTGGTGCAATCTCTGATATTTTTGACGTAATCATTTTGTTTGTACGTCTATAAAGACTTATTCAGAAACTGGAAAAATATAACGGGTTCCATCCCTTTAATTATACCTTTGTAAAATCAGTCTTTAATAAATGATTTATACTTTCCACCACCGATTCTCAAATTTTGTTTATTATTCCCCTCTTTCATGATCTTCATCATTTTGCCAATTTAAATCATTCTAGCTACCCTTGTTTTGTTTCTTTTTCTAGTTTTGCAATATCGAGGTTTTCTCTAGATAATTATGTAATTGCTATCTATTTTTGTAAGCAAACATATGTTTTTTTAAACAGAATCTATTTATCCTAACAGCTTAGGTGTAGTGTAGTGTTACTACATTAAATTCATTGGTTTTGATCATTGCTTACCACTCACCTCTATTTTATTTCATTCTTCATCTCAGTTGTTAATTTATCAATAGCATTATTTTATACTTAATTATCTAGTCGTCCTAAAAATATAGTTAAGAATATTCTTTGTTGCAGTTAGCGTATGAAGATTGGCTCAATTTGTAGGTGACATTCATCACAGATTAACCTCAGTTGATATTTAACTAGTTCAATATTTCTTCAAATCAGTGGGTTAGTAATTCTGTTGATGGGAACACTCGGATATGAACTAAATCATATTCTATCTATTATTAGGTCAGTATATAGTACTACTAGACCTTCAGGAAAATTTGTAGCTCAGAGTTTACTGGGTTACGTTATATTAGTCTTGGAATCGCGAAAAATAGTGAACTCATAAATAATGCTGTTTTTGTGACTATCCAAAATCAATAATTTAAAAGAAAATAATATTTTAACTGTTTTCACATAATTTCCTTCGAATTATTTTCATATGAACACCTGGTAATATTTATTGCCATTTTGTCTCCATCACTAAATCTCTAATTCCACAAACCGTATTCATGGTCAACTTTCCCACATATCCAACTGGAAGATCACAAGTTCTAATGAATAGTCTCAAGCACATACTATTAACATTCATAATTTACATGATTATATCTAAGTAAATTTTCAAAGTAAAGAATAACTCAATGTATGAATTTTATTAAATACATAACAAGAACACTTAGACTGCACATTTAACTGACTGTAAATATCAGTGGATAAAAGATATTAAAATAATTACTGACAGCTTACAATTATCACTGTATATAAATATCATCATTCAGTTACTAAATTAATCACCATTAGAAATATACAGATTAATTCTTATCAGAAAATATGTTCATATGTTTCATACTTCTTTTCTTTTCCTTTTTTTCCAACAATCAAACAAATAATAGTTTGAAACTAGTTTATGTGTACTCTTATTTCATTTTTAATGGATTTTTGTTCTCTGAGCTGGTTGCTTACATTCCTCAACGAATTTTCACTTATTTTAAAGAAAGTTTATTATATTTTATATTCTTGTCTTCTTTAAGGTAATAGATATTTATAAGCTAATAGAAGTGTTTTATAGAGTCACAAATTTTATACATATCCAACTTATTCAAAATTCATATCCATCAAATCAGTTAAGTCACCGATAAAGTAGAAAAAATAAATCCAGCTTCTGTAGTAAAATTGGATTAATTTTACTGTAAGCCTTGAATACATGTTTCATTGTAGACTTCTCTAATTCCCAATCAATTTAAATTTTTCACTAAGGTTTATTAACTGGGATCTTTTGAGGTGGTGGCGAATATTTGTAATTCAGATGGATAAAGTTTGTGCCGATGATGTTGTTCAGAAGAACAATGAAAGACCCATGGTTAAATCCATCCAGCTTAGAGAACGGAACTCCACTAAAAACTGAAATCTTTTACATAAGAGTTCTTAAGATGTGTTAAACTTCAAGTAGGAATTTCGAATGCTATGTATAATTCTACTTATTTAATTTGAAAATGTTCTTGTACATTTAACGTGTTCAATTTAAACTTCTTTTTTCAGCTGAAAAACCGTATACTAAATTATCACTAAAAGGTATCCGCCATTTTTCTATGAGTACCACAAGTCAACCAAATCTTGCAGTGTATATACCCGGGGAAAAGGTAAATGACAAAACGAGGCGTTTATATACAATCTACTTTTCCTTAAATAAGATGGCTTCTAAACAGTCAAATTATCCATATTTTAATGTATTCAAGGTGTTCAGTAAATAATTTCTTAAAAGAATCTTGCATAGGGTATTCCTTTATCACCTTCGCTTACGTTGGTACCGCTGTAATTTCTTGAGAATCTATTACGTATCTGAGGGATTTTAATGATTTCTTTTTACCGAAATCCGCATTTTTCGAGTTTGATCACTATAACATATTCACTCAAACTTTCAAATAACTATGTGAGGTTTTGCATAGGTTCCTCAGCCATTTTGCTTATTACTAATAAATCCGAATACGGACCTCGCCAGTAAATCGCTAAAATGTATGCACTTCAGTGGCGTTGTCGATCGGTATTCTGAAAAAAAATTGTGTAGGTCAGACGGGATTGTGATTGCTGTCTTCGGGATATTGGGTGACATCGGAATATGATAGTACTGTGGTATATGCTACTTATATTGACATAAGTAGTATATTATGTTAGTCATAAACAGGTCTGGCAGCAGAGAGATCGAAAGATAATGCAATTTGTATGAAAATGCAAGAACAATGAAGTCTGAGTCATTTTGAGACAATTGATGGACATTTCGCAAATTGAGCATTTACTTTATGATTGTTAGATTTTATTAACAAGTCCTGTAATTTTGTGTTAAATACATTCGATTGTCCCCACCCGTGTTCTGTTCACTACAGCACGCCCAAACTAATCTACTTTTGGAGAATATACGAGTTACGTGCATGTCGCTATTGAAATTGTCGATATGTGATGTAGAATATCTGTCCGCTATTGTGCGATAATCGCCACATGACCGAATGTTTTCCACTCTACAGCTCCATATGCAATGGAGAAGACCATAGGCTGCTCGAAAGACGTATTCTGCCCATTTTCAGTAGCTTACCCAATTCTTCTTTATGTGCAGCCTCCTCGGACCTAATCTAAGTGGTTTAGCATTAACAAGTGAACCTTTCGTATTAATGTTGTAGGTAACAAGGTGTTAAACGTCTGAATTGAACTACATAGCTTTATCTACCTTCGGAAACCTTTCTAGTAGTTTAAAAAAAGAGTCTTGATATCTATTTGTTTTTATAAAAGTCATGAATATCGATTCAATTATATGACTTCATTAATTATTGCTTCTCTTTTAGAAGTTACTAACCGGTTACACTTAGGACTTACTATTAAATTGACATGCAAAATATCTCTCTCGATGGTGGTTATAGAGATATCTTATGCCATATGCTTTCATCTGAACGATTTACGAAGAACGAGATTCAATATCAACTGTCTTGTTTTATTATTCGGTTCGCTTACAGGACACAAAGCTAATGTTGACTCAAGGCTATGTTTTTCTCCTTTGATGAGTGTCACAGCACTACAGAAAATTGTGCACCCGTTGCTTGTTAAAGAGTGCCCATTTCGTTCATCACTCCTCTCTATCCTACTCTGTGTCTGTAAGGCACGAAGTTAAATGTTGTAGTTATCTAGTCATGGATACCTTTTTAGGACTTCTGTTGTATAGTGGGACCATAAAGAAAACAATCTTAAGTTTCTGTCCTGTTTCAATCAAACTTGATTAGTCATTCGGTGAAGTTGTAAAAATGTACTAAGTGAGTAGAATTACTGGATGGTAAAGCTCTACGCTGAAATACATCTATGAATGATGAAACCGTACCATGATATTATTTCTTTTGATCACTAACTATCGATCTTAGTTATATAAAGATATAAAGGCTTTAAAGATAAAGTCATCAAATTGGTAGGAATCAGCGAATGTCCGGCGCTTTAACCGGATTCCAAATCAATGGTGCACATGGGCTCCAGTATCCTGCGGGAACGAATGGCGTATGAACCAATCGTTGGTCACCGGCTACCATGGGACTGCATCTCCTTACGATGCTCCACTGCCTTGTGGGTTAGACCTTTAGGTCAAAGGCTCGGGGAGTGGCCCCCTAAGATAACCACCTGCTTCGGTTTGGGCACCCGGGCAGTATCACAGCCCACACACAAATGATGAACTCTTTATGTCTATGGAAATTACTTTTGTCGCTTTGAAAAACAATCAATTGATTCAAATTATGATCACTACAATTATTGTCATTATTAATACTACTATTATTGTCATTATTGTTATTATCATTATTATTATTATTATTTTCCACATTATTCACCTTCTTTTATACTTATACAGCGGCTCGTCTTTGGTGGAATTCCGACTGTATCTAAACGTTCTCGAGTCACTGTCCGGTTGAAAATTGTATGTTACCACCGAATACGAGGACTGAAGCAGTTTTTCTGAAACCACGTGCATCATTCAAACTGGCTGCCTTCAACGTTCGCACATTTATGCAGGTCGGACAACAGATAGGGCTGGCTATGTCTTTAGAAAGTCTTAATATCGACGTGTGTTGTCTATCCGAGACCCGTATTCAAGACTCTGGTGAAGTACTACAAATTCGATCTCCATCTGTCGCTTCGAAAAGCTTGTTTTACGTGCGCTTATCCGGGGACCCTGTGGCATCTTCGTCTGGTCTTGCTGGCGTTGGTGTCGCACTAAGCGCTAGAGCTGAGGCAGCACTAGTCGATTGGATCCCCATTAACAGTCGGTTATGTGCTGTTAGATTAGAGAGTTCCATCAAAGTGAGAAGAAATCGGCGTGAGAAACGATGTCTTTTCGTCATCTCCGCCTACGCCCCGACAGGTTGCAGCCCGGATGCAATCAAGGATGAGTTTTACCACCAGTTGTCTGTTCTTCTCCAGAAAGTGCGTTCGACAGATATTGTAGTACTAGCCGGAGACTTGAATGCTCAGGTCGGGCGTCTAGGCACAGAAGAGAGTCGTTTAGGTGGCCGATGGGGACTCGTTGGTCGCAGGTCAGATAACGGGGACCGTCTACTGCAACTTTGTACAGACCACAACCTGTTTTTGGCTAGCACTAACTTTCGGTACAGTCATCGCCGATGTGCCACTTGGCGTCCTCCCTCTGCATCTCAAGCCTGGACTCAGATTGATCACATCGCGATCAGCTACCACTGGCGTGGTTGCGTACAAGACTGCCGCTCCTTTTGGAGTACCTATCTGGACTCTGACCATGCCTTGGTCTGCGCCAATCTTGCCTTACTTTTCAGTGGACAACGAAGTGACCGCCAGCAAAGGATTGATATTAGCAAGCTGGTTGCAACTTCTGTTGCAAGTAAGTATCGAACCGAGCTAGACTCTAGGCTAGCTACCACTCCACCGAAAAGTATGGATGAGCATTGGTTGCAATTGCACGACGCCATGAAAATGGCGGGAACAGTCAGTTGTGGGTTCGCGAAACGTCCCGCTTTTAAGCACTGGGTTTCTGCAGGTTCCTTACAACTCATTGAAGCCCGTCGGTCTACTCCGGGTGACCGTGAGTTTGACCATAAACGAAGGATGTTACGTAAGGAAATTGGGCAAAGCTTGCGTAAGGACCGAGAAGCCTGGTGGTCGAAGCGTGCTAATGAGCTGGAAGCAGCAGCTGCATCTGGTAATTACCGGAAGCTCTTCCAACTCACCCGAGCCACTGGCAGCAAGAAGTCTGCTGTGAGTGAAACAATCTGCGAGGATGATGGGATGCCAATCACTAACATCCATCGACGTCTTGGACGATGGGCAGAATTTTTCGAAGGGCAGTTCAACTGGCCTGCTGCTCCGGCAACATCGGTCAGACTGTCCTGCCCTCCATGGCCGGTGACGACTGATCCACCAAATGAGGAGGAAGTCCGCAAGGAACTCCAACTCTTGAAGCGTTACAAATCACCTGGCCCAGATGACTTACCTCCGGCTCTTTTTAAAGATGGTGGTGACTTTTTGACTAAGAAATTGACGACGTTGTTTACAAAGGTTTGGGAACTAGAGAGTGTACCAACGTCATGGAATGAGTCGATAGTTGTCCCTATCTTTAAAAAGGGTTCACGTCGTTCCTGCAACAACTATCGGGGGATAAGTTTACTTCCGATTGCGTCCAAGCTATTGGCTTCCGTTATTCTTCGTAGGTTGTTCAAAACCCGAGAAAGATTGACTCGCGAGGAGCAGGCTGGGTTTCGTTCTGGTCGAGGATGTATTGATCATATCTTCACCCTCCGCCAAATGTTAGAACATCGCCATACTTTTCAAAGGCCAACAATCGTAGTGTTTCTTGACATTAGGGCTGCCTTCGATTCGTTGGACAGGACTGTTCTCTGAAACGGTCTATTGAAGAGGGGTGTGCCTGAGAAGTTTATTAACATCCTAAAAGCCTTATATACAAACACCTCAGGCAGAGTGAGGGCATACAACCACCTCTCTCCATTGTTCCATTCGAGCAGTGGGGTTAGGTAGGGTTGCCCAATCTCACCATTCCTCTTCAACTTTGCCATCGATGACATTCTGGAAACAGCTCTGATGAATGTAAGTAATGGTGGTGTGGATCTGTTGCCTGGAGAAAGACTTCTCGACCTTGAGTATGCGGACGATATTGTCTTACTGTGCGATAATGCTCAAGGCATGCAATCCGCACTTAATCAGTTGGCAATCAATGTCCGTAGGTATGGTATGTGCTTTGCACCTTCGAAGTGCAAAGTACTTCTACAAGACTGGCAGGATTCTAATCCTGTACTCACCCTGGACGGTGAGCAGATAGACGTAGTTGAGAAGTTCGTGTATCTGGGTAGCTGCATAAGTGCTGGTGGGGGTGTGAGTGATGAGATCAATGCACGAATAGTGAAAGCCAGAGCGGCTTATGCCAATCTGGGCCATCTATGGTGCCTTCGTGATGTTAGTCTGGCCGTAAAAGGTCGGATCTACAACGCGTCGGTGAGAGCAGTTTTGCTCTATGCTTGTGAAACCTGGCCTCTCCGAGTTGAGGACGTTAGACGACTCTCTGTGTTCGATCATCGTTGTCTCCGAAGGATTGCTGACATTCAGTGGCAACACCATGTCAGTAATGCAGAGGTTCGGCATCGTGTGTTCGGGCATAGAGATGATAACTCAATTGGTGTCACCATCTTGAAACACCGACTTCGGTGGCTTGGACATGTTCTCCGAATGTCGTCCCAGAGAATTCCACGTCGTGCATTATTTGCCGACGCCGAGACTGGTTGGAAGAAGCGGAGAGGTGGTCAGTGCATGACATGGTGTCGTGGCATGAAAGAAAGCTGCAAAGGACTGGCTTGTGTTGGTCCTTCACGACTCCCTGGCTGGGGTCCGAGTGATGGTGCTACACAGTGACTAGAGACGTTATCAGATATGGCTCAGAATAGAAGCCAGTGGCGATCCTGCTGTAACCGTCTTTTACTTTCTTCATAAAAAGTGGTTGTGTCTCCTTTACCTGAAAGATTTCTTCTGATTGTACCTCTTCGTCATTACTCTCTTTTTCTTTTGCGTACCTTAGTTTTTTTTCTTTTTTTTTTACTTCTCTTCGAATTCCCATTGTTTTGTGTGGCGCATATATATTGGCGCTCTCTTGTACCAATATTTATGTGTTCAAATAAATAAATAGTGAATAGTTTGATCTCTTAGAGTCATGGTTCTAGATAATCATTCATCATTGGTTAGCCACCAGCTATTATCAGAATTTGTCCCTTTTCAGTGTAGTGGACGCTACCCACAAGATTGTTTATAAGTAATATATTGCAGAACGTGACCTTAAGGTTGTAGGACGGAGTGAAGAGTTTCAGTACAGTGAAAGCACGGCATTGACAGAACAATTGGAGATCAGATGCGAAGGCAGTTCAGCTTTGTAACTTCACAATAAATATGGATTCCTTCTTTAAATAAATATTTAATCTAGAGCTTAGTATCCTGGGTAGTTTGAACTGCATGTTTGCTAGGAAAAATATCTTATATTAGCATTTAATGCACCTTCAATATTTTAATATTTTGTTTTTTCATTGTTTTTTCCTATAGAACCAACCTTCTTTTGTCAGAGTTTATCAGTGCCGTGATAATCAACTGATTCATATTGCAAACAAATCGTTTTTCCGTGCTGATACAGTCCGACTATTATGGAATGATAAAGGAACTGATTTACTCATACTTACTTCAACAAAAGTAGTTCATATTATATGTGTTATTATAACTATTCGTACCTTTTTCACATGCCATATTGTTTGGTTATTTAACTTTTAATATGTAAGGGGTTCATGAAAATTATGGAGCTTCCTAGTTTACATCACAAATTGGCTTATATTATTAATAATAATCATGTCCTCATTAATAACTAATTCTAAGAGATGTTCTTCGGAGTTTGGATGAGACTCTATGATCAACGATAGCTGGGGAATGTCGAAAATTAATCGAGCCTATAAATGTAAACCAGTATATCTTGACTCAATATTCTAAAGATGAACTACTTACCGTGAAATTCTAAGGTCATGGTTTCGATCCCGGTGTGATCGTGGTTGTTCGCTTACGAGAAATTGTATGACAGAATATGGCGGCTGTTCAGTGTTTATTGAATTTCAATGGTTTTCTAACTAACGGCAAGCTGTGATATGTTAACCCTTTTTTTCACGAATTTTTCTCATATATGTGCTCACTTTTAATTATTCTGGATTTACTTCCTTCTAGATTAGTGACCGAAGGTAATTTTTCTCCTAGCACGCAACCCTAGCCGATAAAACTTTAATTCCCAAATAAAAATTATCAATTTACTTATATTCTCTCTAACTCAACTGGTTTATTTTACTTATCTGGTATGTCTACCGAACTGGTAAAGTCTTGCGTATTAAATTGCCTTTAGTTTAAATCTACTATCCACTGCAAATTTAATAAGTTTTATCATCTAGCCTTAACAGACTAACATACATGATTTTTAGTGGTTTGAACCACCGTGTTGTTGATAGGTCGACCAAATTTTGGCCAGTCTTAGTTTATGTGCATCATGTGCAAACTGCCTCAATTTAGCTTTCATGATACACGTTTATGTAGAATAGATGAAATGTGGCTACCAGCGGTATCCAGGTACATTCAACTGATAAATCTCAAGCGGGACGAAACGTTTTTTCTGGGTCCTACTGCTAGCAATATTCCGTCCATTCGACATAGATGATTCCACTGCTGGTTAAGTATTAGTTCGGCAACTAAATGCCCCTTCATTTTCTAAATAAAGATTTACTCTTAAAATTTTACCTATTCAATCATCAGCGGAATTTCTTACGGATTTTTCGTAAGTGATTCTATAAACCACGAAAGGTTCTTCAAGTTGAATTGAAATAATTTATTGAGGCAACAATCTGATTTTGTAACTTTTGATTTCTACGGTATATTTTTATTTATATATGGTATTCGTCAGGACAAAAGTCAGAGAAACAATGAGAACCAGGAAGTACTGAAGGGACTGTACTTTCCTGGTACGGAAATCACCAATGTGAATACACAACCCTGCCAAGAATCAGAACGATGACCTTCAGATCTCGTGACAAACCCTTAACCTTTTGGTCACTGATTTGGAATCTACTGGTTCATATTCAAGCTTCGATTTTGGGTTTAATGTCGTGGATGTAAAACTGTTGAGAATACCTATATCAAAATTTTTAAAGATGACTAGCTTTTCATTAGGTTATTGTTTATTGTCAAGAGATATCCACAAGCGAAAAACCTATATACATCATCATATTCGGTAGTTATAACAATGTTTTCAATCTCAATTATCATGTTAAGTTACTGTTTATTCATGGTACTTCTGATAGCCTAGATCAGTGTTAGTATCTAGTATACTTCATTTCTTTATTATAACATTCTGCTTTCTATTAACTATTATTTTCAATGTATCGATTACTATCCACCATCAGTAAACAGTTACATGAAACTTGGGATCCATAAATTTTTCAGTATTTTATTTAATTTTCTTGTTGAAGCATTGTATGTTTTGATATCCAAGCATTAAGAATTTATTCTACGTGTCTTGTTTACAGGTTACTGACTTTCCGTCCACGGTCATATGATATCAAGGTTACAGAGCTTAATAATGGTCACATGTTTTAATGACAGTATACAAATATAAGTATTATTGCATTTGTAATTATCATGTACATAGTTGGTTATAAACCCTTTATTTAGTCAGATATTCAAGCATTGTCTATAGTAACTTTAGTTGTTCTTACTTTTAAATAGAGTCATTGCGCCTCGTACTAAACACACCACTTTGTACACAATCATTACATATTACCACAAAGCCTAAACGTTTCAATTTTCATACTATCTACCGTCATAGTTGTACACTCTCAAGAAATCCTGCAAAAATAAATTTTAAACGATACAGATAACCAGTGATTCTTGATTTTAATGGTTCTCCCACTGATTTCTATTTGTTGCAGAGTAGTTCACCCACTAAACTGTATGTTGTATCTGGTTTTCTCTCATTTTCTCATTGCGTTTTCTTCATTTCTTTTCTAAGCTTAGTGATGAAAGTTATTATGGGGATCAAGGTCTTTATTTTATATCAGCTAGTCGATCCGGTGATAGTGCGATTGTTCCAATGCCACGTAAAGGTCCAATTTATCAAATAGCTTTTCAACCAACAAATTATTCATCTTCTATGGTGAAAAAGAATAAAAATAAAAAAATTGAAGAATATTTTGTTGTTTGTTATGGATGTAAGTGATTCTTTTTCTTTTCAAACATGTACTACTGATTTGTTTACATTAACGATTATTTATTTACAGAATGGACAGCGAATATGGAGTTGTACATCTACCTTCTTACTTTGACCTGTTACCACCCCTCTTGAGAGAGTTATAGGCGCTATATCACACATCTCTAAACAACTCTCTCCTGGTCTCTTGTTTCTAGCTATCACCAACTACAATTAATGATCTTGATATCTGTATCCAATGCCCAACACCATGTGTTCTTCGGTCTGTCTGTTTTCCTTTAGCCTTGAGGATTCCAAGTTAGAGCTTGCCTTACTACACAGTTTGACCGTTTCCGTAAACTATGTCCTACCCACCTCCACTACCTTTTTGTATTAAACTTCTGACCATCATTTGGTGCATCTAACACATTCTCTGGTAAAAGAGGATCTAGATAATAAGATTCATCAGAATCTCCTGTTGTTGACTGATGAGGACCGTTTAGAGCAGCTAAACTCAGTATACTGCACGATTTGTTTCCTGTTTCCTTGTGAGAGGGTACAACACATCCATATGTTTGCTTCTGTATATTCGGCCTGTACCTTGAATTTCTCTCCTCTTGTTTTTCTTGTTGATTACTGTCTCCTTGTTATGTTTTTATTTCTTGCATCTTACTTAAGATAACTAAAGAGATCCACTCTTTATGATGGTGCTTCTTACATACCGGATCCTTCAGCCATGTCGAAGCTAGTTCTTCTGGTAGATTGTGTAATGCTTAGGACTTGCTTTTTCAAGTTAAATTTGTTTCTTCTGATTAGAAATTTTGTTTAGGAGCTTTTTTGGTAGGTGTGGATGCTAACTCCGTCTTCAACCCTCCCTCTTTACACTGGCCTAGGACTGGAAGTAGCCGTAGAGGCGTTCCATACTTACTTACTTACTTTCACTATGAACCGTCATAATTCTTCTAAATGAAGATCGTTAAACTCGGAGGACGGAGTTTAAATAATTTAATTTGTTTATTCTGGTTAGTGTTTTTTTAGCAAATTTGTTTTCTACGGGATTGGGTTGCTGACCCCATGCCCAACCCTCCTTCTTTAATCGAGCTTGGTACTATCAGTAACCCCATAAGAGCTACAGGTGGAATTCGAGGAGCTCCATACGTAGTTATTTAATAGTCATAGAGGTTTACATTTGAGATAATTTAGCTATTACTGCAGTATAATCCACTCATTCAACAGACACAGATCTCTTCTTTTCTTGTTTGATGTAACTTTACAATCAAAATGAATATGGTGTCTAGAAACTATTGTATAAGCTGATTATATCTATCCGTAATGAAATTCTTAACATTCTCTATCAAATCAATGTACTTATCATGTGACCATTAATTAATAGATTTGATAACCTGGTAAATCTAGTTATAATGTAACTAATTTTTTTTAATATTAAGAATCATAATTAAATCAGTTGTCAGTTGTTGTTGATTCTAATCAATTGGTTATTGTGAAATGAAGTCATTAACTTTTATTGTATTCGTCAAACATCGATTGATATAAATTTCTTTTAAGACATATTCATGATTGTTTCTAGTTGTTACACTAGTATAGTGTGGCAAAAAGAAACACCAAGAGTTATTTGTTACAAGTAAGCTAATGTATGAATTAGTGAAATCACTGATGTTTGGTTTAAATTGTTTAAAAAAGAATAAGTATTATTTAAGCTACGATTTATATTACAATCATTATTCGTTGAAAAATTCCCATTATATTAAAACACAATTGTATGAACGAAAAATATTCTTTTCAATTAATAATCCATAAGATTGGCCAAGTTTAAGACAAAGTATATCATTTAAAATTATAATTTGTAAACCAAAGATTCTTTGTCGTTTAAAATAGGCACTTCTTCTTACCAAATTTGTCTGATGGCCATCCTGATATTTTCGGTCGTTGGTGAAGTGACAGCTATGAGAAGGGTTGTATGTGCTGCTTTGATATCTAATGGGTTCAGTACGTGCGGTCTATTTAAGAGTTCGAATTGCTCTACTCGTCGGCTTCACTGTTCTTAAATCTCAGTGACCGGCTTGCCTTCTTTGTCCTTGACTGGTTTACTATATTTACCTGCCAGTTTATTTATTATATCATATAGTTGTCTGATATTAACTTCTCTTGCAGCTTTTTCCACTCTTGTTGCTAGGTCGTTAATGTTGGGGTGATTAATATGAACTGTTAACTTAAGTTTATACGTCAAATGAAATTGTGAGATATGTGATCAGAATAAATATGCTCAACATGGGATGAGCGAGTGAACAATGTAGTTACAAACCAGAAATTACGTAATAGGTAAAATAATGTGAATTGAGTACGAATTAGTAGATAAGGGTGGATATTGGATAAATTTCTCGAAAATGTTGGCAGGTTTTATAATAATCATAATAATAACAATGATAAGATATATGGATAAGATATAAAAATGGACATTAATCAACTCATATAATATCAGAAAATTGATTATTAACTAAATAGGCCCTGAAGTTGGCTAAAGTAAGAGTGGTTGAACGTAAAGCTCTGGCTTTTTGATCCGAATAGCAATTGCTTTAGACAGACTGCTGTTAACATGATATATTACGATGAAAGATTGCTCCATGTTGGCTGTATAGTCCGTTTGAACTAAATGAGCTAAAATGGAGCTGCTTAGCTACACTGGGAGATGCTCGCGAGCCCGAAAATATAAGTACCTAGAACACCTACCAATAGAACTTACTCCACAGGAGCAGTTGAATTGATAGATATAGAAAGAATTAACTAATCTAGGCAAGTTATATTTCCATCTCGGAGTGATCATCGAATGTGTAGAAAACATAAATATACGATCTTTTCATTGGTCCCGATTCAAATTATTATTTCATCTAACTCAGTAACTGATGGTAGATTTTATTTTTTATATTGCAAATTCTGCTAATTAGATATTTCATATCTAGAAATGAAAATCCAATGTTTTTATCACTTGTAAATGTTATAAACCTTCACAAAGTAGATACTGTTCATAATTTTTAATTTATCGATCTCAGTAATTAACCATTGTATATTGAAACTAGTTTTTTTTATACGACTAGTTATTAAATTCATTATGAACATTTCAATTAATAAATATAATCTGATCAGTAGTTCCATCAAATAATTCTGTTATTATTTTATTCTTCTCTATTCAACGTTTTAGTTACACCAGCATCTGTAACAATATTCAATTTGAACTGTGAACCAGTTCATGATTTTGGAACAGGTTCATGGAATGAAATTCATTTCAATCCTCATGGGAATCATATCCTTTATTTGATGATTAGTTTTGAGAATAAATTTACTTTCATATGTATGTGTACATTGTAAATGTAATTACAGTTCTTTTTCTACAGATAATTGTTATAGATAATGGGAAACGATATCACAATAATTTTTATCTGGTTATCTTACATTGTTGAAAAACAATTTATAATTTTTGTTTATATAAATTAATAAGGAAATGAGTTCGAAATTTTTTTCATAGATGCAATTTGGACTTTTCAGATGACTTAGCTCTTATATCTCTTACATAACAACAAAGACAATTGAGGACAGCCAGTTTAGCAGAATTAAGCCCTCAGCATACACAAGGGAAAGAGCGAGGTCCTGAAATGCAGTACAGAGAATACCAACCAAATCACGCTTGATGGAGGAACTCTGTAACAGGTGGGAACTGTCATGTACTTGACCGGCATTATTGATAAGTAACATGGATCTGATCCAGATGTGAAGTTAAGGACTGTCAAAGCGAGTACAGCATTCCAGCTAAAATATTATGCTACTGTTGGTCTTTTATTCCCCGTTTGATTGTTCAAATAACCCAATTTTATATTATTAAATTCAGGTAGTAAGAAACAGTAATAAAAGTCTCTGCTTTCACCTTAACCGTCTTATTATTTATTTTTCTCATAGTTTACTATTGTTATTAGCTGGGCTAGGTAATTTGTCAGGCGATATGTGTGTTTGGGATTTTTCAACTCATGAACGTTTATCTTCATTTAAAACAACTGATGTGACAAGTGTTCAATGGTTACCAGATGGTGAACATTTAATATTTGCTACAACAACTCCAAGATTACGTGTAAATAATGGGTTAGTTGCATTTTTGTAGTATGTTTTCTTTTTGATACTCGAAGAATTTTTCGATTCTTGATTGTATGAAATACCGAAAGTCTCCCATTTTCGATGTTGCTTTATCAGACTGACTGACTTTATGCTTCTAAGTCTTCAAGACTTCCCCTAATCTCGTTCCTTTTTTCAGGTACCTCAGGAAGAAAATTTTTCCCAAGATGTTGGCAGCTAGGAAGTGACTGTCACTCCCATCCTGCTAATAGCACTCTGGATCACCTCGTTCATAATCAAATCCCATCTTCATTACCTAGCTTTTCTTCTAGCTTTAACTTTTTTTACACCTACCTTCAATGGACTGTGACAAATCGCCTTTGTTATTGAAACTCTGTTGTTTAGGACTGGGATATGGTAGTTAGGTTACGATATATCGTTGTAGAAACTAGATCAGTTGTGTTAGATCATCAACCGCTAATCCATCCAACTGTCGAGATGTATCATTTTGTGATTTTTTCATTTTAATTTGTCGTTTTTATGTGCTGTTGCCTTTTTTCCTTACTAATTCTGATGTCGTTTTACGCCACTTATCTCTTCGCCCTTTTTCATTCTTGTTGTGGTTGTATTACGTCATTCGCCAAATTAGAGATTTTCACTATAATAATAGAGGTTCTAGGTATTCATTTTTTTGTTCGGATTCATATAAGCAACTCTTATCATTCATTCTTAAATGTAACCATTCTGGATGAGCATTACATGATTATCATCTCTCCAATCCATACTCGATTTCAGAACATTCTCTATTGAATTCATTGTAGCATAAACTTTCTGAACGGAAAGTTTCCGTCAATTACAATAGCTTCCGTCTTAGTGGACAACAACTAATGTGCTTCGTCGTTAGTCCATCAACAGCATTATCATTCTGTTTTTATTTTATGAAACTGCATAATTTTCTCTGCTCAATTTTTCAGTCGATGATTTGTTTCACAGTCGCCTGTCCTTTATATTCAAATCCATTTGTTTAACTTTAATTTTAATTCGCATCAAATATTTATTTATCATGTTCGGAAACTGTAAAATCGGAATTCTATCAAATCGATTAATTTTGTTTGTTTATCTATTTAAATTCATTTACTCATCGTGAAAATTGTGTGATTTTGTGTATTGTATTGATTAATTATTGACCACTGGCACCTTTGAAAGTTATTCACTAAATGAAAAAGAAAACATCGGCGTTAAAATGTTCACCTTGCAACTAATGAATCATGGATTCGTTTATACTACTCATGATATACTTCGATCTGTATGGTCGCCTAACACATTTGACCTTCGTGAAATAAGTTTGACTCAAAGAACCCATACGTTGTTACGTTATGTAATCAAATAAATTTTATAGTAACGTCAGCATAACTTATTCTTCCAGCCCTATAGATAGTTTGTCTTGTTACTAGATGATTCAAAATATAGTCAGAATATTTTCAGCTTGATGTGGAATCACTGTATACTAATAAACTTATTATTCTTATTATGATCTTTTAGTTAATTTTTAAGTTAACCTTATTGTCTTAACTTTCATAGATTTGGGATATGGCATTATAGTGGTAAACAATTATCCTATCGACCAGTTGAACGACGTGCTATTCCTAGAGCAGCTACACCAGATTTACCCGCTGCAGTTGATCATGAATTATATCAAGTTTCAGTTATATTTCCAACAAAACTGGAATCTGCTCCTGAACCGAAAAAGTTTGAGTCTGTAAGTTTTCGGATTGTTTTAATTATGTTAAGAACTTTACTTTTTATTCACAAAATGAAACAGCATAAAGGTGAATAAATAAGGCTGTATTATTTTAGATGAATTACTTTAGTAACAGATTATTTATTTCTCTGAATACCAAACTTTACTTAATCGTCAGTCAATTGAGATAACAGTTAAAAACATCGGTAAGCAGAGAGAACAGTTTTTGTACTTGATATGGCGTCTAAAATTATACCTACCCTCTAAGTGTTGATAGCGCTTTCTAAGCAAGTTTTTTTCACATGATGAGGTTGCTAACCCCATGCCCAACCGTCATCCTTTACCTGGTCATGTGACCGACAGTAACCCTAGAGGAGCTACGGGCGGAGGCCGATCACTGAGATTCAAGAACAGAGGAACTGGTGGATAGAAGTCTTTGAAGAACTTTTGAATAGACCAGCTCCATTGAATCCACCAAACATCGCACCAGTACCTACAGATGTAACTAACAACGATCGAAGTAATCAGGGTGGCCATCAGACAAATCAAGAGTAGGTAAGCAACAGGACCTGACAATTTACAACCTGAATCGCTGAAGTCAGACACAGAAGCAACTACAGACATACTCCACATTCTATTCAGAAAGATTTTGGAGGAAGAACGGGTGCCGATGAACCGGAGAGAATGATATCTCATCAAGATACCAAATAAAGGAGATCTGAGCAAGTGCGAGAACTACGGAGGCATCTCACACTACTATCGGTACCTCGAAAAGTCTTCAACAGAATGTTGCCGAACAGGATGGAAGATTTAGCTGACAACCAGCTTCGAGATCAACAAGCCGGATTCCATAAGGATCGGTCGTGCACGGACCGAATCGCGACATTACAGATCATCGTTGAACAATCAATCGGATTGAACTCGTCACTATACATCAACCTCCTTGACTATGAGAAAGCATTTGACAGTGTGGATAGGAGGACCTTATGCAACCTTCCTCTACACTGTGGTGTGAGTAGCTGGGAAAATCGTCGGCATCATTCGAAATTCATGTGACGGATTACACTGCGTATTCGTGCATGGAGGACGGGAGTCAGACAAAACTGCCTACACTCTATCTCCTGGTGGTTAACTGTATTTTAAAGACCACATCTCAAGTGTAGCACGGAATACAATGGACAACTTGGACGCAACTAGACAATTTGGACTTCGTATATGACCTAGCTCTTATATCTCATACACACGAGCAAATGCAGATGAAGACAGCCAGTGTAGCAGAAGCCTCCGCATCAGTAAGTCTCAACATACAAAAGGGAAGAACCAAGATCTTAAAATATAACACAGTGAACACCAATACAATCACACTTGATGGACAAACTCTGGAACAAGTGAAAACTTTCACGTACCTGTGTAGCATCATCGACGAACAAAAAGTATCTGATGCAGACGTAAAAGTAAAGATTGGTAAAGTAAGGACAGCATTCACACAGTTGAAGAAAATATAAAACTCAAAAAAACCGTCAAACAATATCAAATTCGGAATCTTCAACACGAACGTCAAGAAAGTTCTACTATGGGAAGCTGAAACGTAGAGAACTACCACAACCATCATTAAAAAAATACAAGTATTTATAAACAGTCATCTACACAATATACTGAATATCAGTTTGCGGAGTACCATCAGCAGCGGCCTACTGTGGTAGAGAAAAAACCAACATCGAGTTCAAGAGGAAATGAGGAACAGTAGTCGGAGGTGAGTAGGACATACATTGATCAAATCATCAAACTTTGTCACAAATCAAGTGCTAACTTGGAATCCTGAAGGGGAAAGGAAAAGAGGAAGACCAGAGAACACACTGCTCCGAGATTAGGAGACAGACATCAAAAGGATGAATAGCAACTGGAAAGGATTGTTCAGAACGGAGTTGGATGGAGAATGCTGATGGGCGGCCTATGCTCCTCTACGAGGGTAACAGGCGTAAGTAAGTAATAAATTAAGATAATGATAATTTTACTCATGGATTTGATTAATTGAGAGAACTTAAGTTTATTGAAGTCAACCCAAATTCACTTATTCAACCGTAACTGAACGATTGTATTGAATAATGATATATAGAATATATCGATTGTGAGTTCAAATCTCATTAATAAAAACAACATACATATCTATCTATTTGATGAAATGAACACTTTGAAATATGCATCAATAACTATTATACTGCAGAATGCTAAGTGAATAACTCGATGACTCTCAAAGCAAACTGTGTTCGAGTTGCGGAGTAAACATTAACTCGGAGATGCAAGTACATCCAGCTGACGAGTCCCAAATAGAATGAAACGTTTGTCCTGGATCTCACTGTTGGCGATCATCCATCTTTGCTTGTAATCCTTGTGACTCATTAGTACCCTCATATGTTTTATACTCAAACATTTTGTTTACACAACGATATATTCTTATTTCTGTTTTATTGCGTATAACAATCATTATTCCTTTCCCTCGTTAAAGGTTAATGTAGATTCAGTAAATAAGCGTTCTTCGGCTTACGTACCTCCGGTTCTTCGCAATCGTTCTGCAGTAGCTGTACAATCATTGAAAGCATCCAATATGATTGATCATGGTAAAATTTCTACCCACTCTTTTAACAATAATAATTCTAACATTGGAAAATTGAATCCAAGCAAAAGTATGTTGGTTGTCCAATAACATTTCATTCCTTTTGATATGTTATAAAAACATAGTATTCTGATAAATCACTTATTATCGGAATGGGGGTTTGTGAAGATTGTATTAAGTTTAGTAGTTGATTTTATGAATCGATTTAAGCTAGACCACCATTTAAATCTTGGAAACACTGGATAGCCATGTCGTCCTATTACGGGACTACTCAGCAGTGCACACCCACGATCCTACATGTGGGACTCGAACCCAGGACCTTTGGTGTCGCGCGCGAATGCTTAACCTCTAGACCACTGAGACGATATCCAATGGTGTTAATGTCTAACTTCAATCGATCCATGATCTTGTGCAACTATTCATCAATTGTATGGGATAGATATATGTTTCTCCTCAACGTGGATTGGATTCCACCGGTTACGGCTTCTCACTAGAACTCCAGGTTTTCAATGGAGATTTTTGCTTAGATTGACTCATGAATTCAACTATTAATATTTCATATTATCTATTTTAATCCGAAATCTTTCCATGATATTCATTGGAAATAAATTCTGACCTAAGCATATATTGATTATGTGTGGTTAGCCATCTTGTTTTGATACTCATGAATTAACTTATGTTGTGAACATTAAAAAAAACACGTATATAGTGGACTTAGTTCTGGAATAATTAGAAATCTTTGAATGAAAGTGCAAAGCGTTTTTTTCTTCATTTCATTAATCCTGGCTGAAAGCGTTAAAGTTCACTGAAATGATTTTTCCTATTTGTGTTAATCTATTTATTACTTTAAGGATTGTTTTTCATATAAATCAAAAAATAATAACTATTTTATTTAAATCATGAGTCAGTTGAAGCTAGACTTCAACTGACTCATGATTTAAATCTGTGAAAATTTCTAAAATCTCCACAAACCCCTTCTGATAATAATCATCTGCTCACTAGTGACTGACTTCAAGAGATACTCCTGGAGTTCTAGTGGGAAGCCGTTACCAGTGGAGTTCAACCAGGTCTATTGTGAGATATCAGCTCACTGAAAACAATGGTATATGGTGGCGCAACTTCGTGGATTGGTTGAGGTTAGACATTAACACCGTTGGATGCCGGCTCAGTGGTCTAATGGTTAAGTGCTCGCGCGCGAAACCAGTAGGTCCTGGGTTTGAGCCCCGCGTGGTGCGGGGTCGTGGATGCGCACTGCTGAGGAGTCCCATACTAGGACGAAACGGTCGTCCAGTGCTTCCAGGTTTCCAATGGTGGTCTAGCTTCAACTGACTCATGATTTCAATCTGTGAAAATTTCTAAAATCTCCACAAACCCCTTCTGATAACTATTTTATTGTTTGAAACAAAATCGGACATAAACACATTCTAATCCAACTAAGCCTCTTATTAAAAGTAAATAAAAATAATCAATAATTCTCATATACAACTGATTTTCCATGTATTAAAAGTCATAACCAACTAAATGACCTCAAATGTGTGTATATTGTCTAATATTAGTCATCGTAAACAAAGCATGTGACCTAGACCAATAAGTCTGTTTACAACATTTAGTACAATAATAGAAGGTCATACTGATATTAAAAAAAAATCCAACTAGGATTGGTTAAACGGATCATTGAATTTTTTTACAGTTAACTGTAATGATTAGTAAAACCTTGGCAGTTGTAAAACATGTTTTAAGTCACTTTGTATGTATAACATGGAATTGATGCTTACAAATTCCATTGAACTATTTAAATGTCAGTCAAAAAATTTAAACATCAAATCGAACTGTATGCATGAATAGTAATATATGGTTTCAAAATTCAAACTAAATGATTCGAACAAGAGTAGGTAGCATTAGATAGTTGTTTCATCCTACTATGTACATTCATATCATTAAGGGTTCAACTCAAGACATGTTTAGACTTGATGCTAATGTATTCACTATTTCGATCGAAAAATCAATTATGCCAATCAAGATTTCTAGTCACTAAATAACAGTCTCATAAAACAAATGCTATTCATTGCGTCCTGTACTAGTCTGTATCTGTGAAACGTAGATGACACGTAGACTAGAAGTGTTTGGTCATGGGTGTCTCTGAATCTAACCAATGATGGCGTATCGATTAATGAGGTTGTGATATACCACTAATTTATATGGTAGCATCATTTGTTACTTGAACTGAACCACCACCTAAGTAGGTATACGATGCTGTCCTGGTTAGATTGGTATCCTTAAAGACATTTATTGTCGAATTGGGCCATCATGACTGACGTAAATTACATGGTTCCAATCACCCATGACAGAAGCGACCAGTGGGTGAATTCACTACGATACATAATTCAGCACCGATCATTGATACAATCTGTTTTCCTCCAAAGATGTCACGGATACGCAACGTTTAACAACACTTCTATCCGCAATCTCTTCTTACGTAATGATTTCGAAGTCAGTCAAGCAAACCAAAAGTCAAGGTTGATGTAACGCAAAAGCACGTGAGTCATATGATGTAATGTCTCAAAGTTTAAAATGTAAGCTTAGTTATTGTAAAAAAATGCACAGCACTGGGTGTTCAAAGATAATTGGGTGCAAATTCTTGACCGAGTACCTTCAACCATGGACGTATTCAAATAAACCAGTGTTGAAAACTTACAAAGCCACTTGTTGTAAGGAACATATTTGCCCCTTTATTTCTAAAACTTTTATCATCAATTCGTATTTCTTAAACTCGAACTCATCTCTTGTTTTCGAACATACTCATTATAATATTAAGCCTTTCCTATTATTAAAACGAAGACTACTTCGAATCATTTTGATGTTCACAACTTTCTAACTTCGTGTTGCCGTACTGATTTAGTTGTGGAAATTGGACCGCCACTCCAGTGGTCAGGAGACTAAGCGTTTGCGGCCGAGACTGGATGTCCCGGTGGCGCACTCGTGAAGAGAATCAGTTGTTGTCTTAGTTTGAAATCTCAATAACGACCATACTTTGTGCTCAAACTACGTAATAATAAACACCAACTAGTTTTTTTGTGATATAACCACGGAGTCTCGCAAGCTTACTTGCTTATGAAACATGGGTTTACTGTCCAGTACTAGACTTATTATGGTTCACCCTTCATTCACCTCAGTTGTTTTGACTACCTGACAATCTTTTTATTTCTACTCCATAAAGTCATGGGACTTAAGTGATGTCGAGTTCAATGAACTCTTTAAACCTAAAACTTCGTATTAGTTCTTTAATGAATGATTTAAAATTAAGACATGATAAAATCACGTTTCGTAGAACTCGCTAGCTTGTTATTTTGAATCTTGTTTAGCTAATGGTTCAAATCAGAAAACCGCATTATCTTCAAATAAACCTGCCCAGACTGGTGTTACGGATCCAACTTCATCCAATAATAAATGCGCTCACCCAGCTGCATCAGACCCAAAAAACCAAAAGCAAGTCAATCAGATATATAAAGTGAGTTCATTGTCGCATTCTATCCAATCTCACATGTTTGATATTATGCCTACTACAACGTCACGGCCCCTTGCATTTTATTATTACCCCTACTGGCGCTTTCAGATAGACTGTAAATTAATATATTGGTACTTTTGTTTTCACGACTTCAAGCGATAAGTTCTTTTTAGTCAGCTAACAGTTTTTGCGCCCATTATATTCTTCTTTGGAGGTGGCATTCGTCACTGATGCGAATGTCAGTTGACATTTCTACAAAAACCAGTGCATAGTTTGGCTATGGCGGGTGTTACTATCGCTACCCATAACATTGTATTGACGGTAGTTAGTGAACGTTTAACTTGAACTTATTCACTTCTTCTAAGGCTTGTACTGTCCGCAACCTAAAAGCTGAACAATGTCTCATACATTTTTTTCGTACCAGAACAGACGTGATCGACAAAAGAAACTAGCACAAAAATAGCTACAAATGATGAGTGACAGTAGTATCCTTGAGGCTTGGACAAACCAGTGTACTGTGATTGATTGCGGAGTGTCACTCGCGACTTCAAACTATTGATTCACATGCTTTACCTTATACATAACCCTTATCAATCGTTATTATACTTATGGATTTGAATTGACTCAGTGACCTCGATTAGTGTAGCTGTTTACCTACTAACTTTTATCCCTGGCTTATTAAATACACGACGGATTTCATATACATGTGCTTGAATGACAGTGACACATTAGTTCGTGAAAAGAAATGTAGAAAGCAAATTTAATCTCATGATTTAACTTTATACATCGACTCTACTCTAATCGATCTTACAACATGAAAGAATCTCCAGTCGTCTTAACATCGTCTAATAAAATTACTAACTATAACAAATGGTAAAAATCAAGTTGGATTATAAATTATAACAGTATATATCTACATTACACCTTGGCGTAGTTATACTTTGCATTATTTCTCCTTGCTTAATAACAGAAACTGACGCAGATTGAGAAACTAAAAACAGAACAAGCATCCGGAAAAGCTTTGGCATATAACCAACTGGACAAAATTGCGAGTGAGAAACAACTCCGGGATGAATTAGCTAAACTATGCTTATAAAGACCATGTTGAGTTTTTATTAAATTTTTCACGTATTTATTTGTAGTACATTTGCGTCGTTGTTCTTAACTGTGAAGATTAATAAGGTAAACAACCTAAGTGATCTAATACGAAGTTTTCACCATGAAAATTGTTACACGAAGAGAATATAGCACGATTCTATATGAGTGCCGTTACATAATAAATCCGACAATACATCACCTCAAAAGATGTGGTCTAGTGAGCATTATTACCAGCATCTGTGAAGAACGCCAAACTAAATGAGTCTGGAATCATGTGCAAGCATATCAACTCAACACTAATTGAGGGCTAAAATATTAACAGTTAAATGGTATTCATTAGCGGGAGACTGATTCAGACTCTTAAAATATGCTTTGAAACAATCACCTTACGATCCAGACCACATTTTTAAATTACACTTTCTAGTATGTTGTTCAACATAATATCAGGTACGTTGAGGACTAAACGGAAGCAGTTAACAACATGCGCATGATGCAATAACTTACTAGTATTTTAACCCTAGCTTCCTAAATTAAAGAGGGCACATCACGCACGCGTTTATTTCGCCATCAAACGATAAGAGCCCCGTAAAGCAAATATACTGATGAATCTATTTAGCTTAACATATACGCCTGCCGCAGAGAACCTGCACACGATTAATGCATAACAGCGCGATTTAAAGTCAAACCAGTGCTTGGCGAATGAGGTATTTTGACACTGATTGTGTATATTCTACGAATTATTTGCAAGAGAATATCCTGATCCAACGACTCATCGAATGGATTCTACCCAACACTACGTTGATGCAAAAGCATTTCTCGAGTTTGAAGGCTCGCAGGACAGTTTTTCTACAAAACCAAGTTATTTTTTATTTAAAACAGATTATAGGACAAATTCGGATTAAAAACACATGCTATAAGCGAAGCTTACTCGGACTGGGAGCAGTCACTAAGTTTTTAATTTCCAACGAAAATTTATTTTAGATACATATAAATGCATATATCGTGATAACCACAGAAAAATGACTTTCAGCTAGAACAAGGTATTACGAGATAAAATGTACAAATTAGACATTAAAAATGCAATATGTACAACATAGATTGAAATTAATATGGGCTGGAGTAATAACCACCATTGTCCCTCACACCATATCCTCGACTACGATCCCGTGGATTGCGTTCTTCAAATCTCCTTGAGAAATCACCACCAGCCTAATAGCCAATTATAAAAAAAAACGAATATTAGTCTCTCTGAACAATATGCTTTCGAAGTAGTGTAAATCAACTAGAAAACGGAAGTATAGACTGTCAGACGATGTTTTAGTAACTTACCAACAATATGATCACTATGTACGTTGGCTCAAAAAAACCACACAACACGACCCCATTATCATCACGATAAGCTGCTAATATATCACTAATTGAGACCGTAAGGTATCTCAGCTAAGTGCACTATTGTATGTTCTATACCCATCACATCAACACAAATATAATAAACTAGCTACACGTGGAGTGAAAATAATATCAATTCCCATGATATTATCAACGCAATTCGTATAAACGTGCGTACAAATTTGAACGATGGAAAATGCAGTGACTCAGCGTGATTAGCATCAGAACGAAGAAAGAATGCATTTATAAAATCTCAAAACTTTGCAAATCTACATGGCTCGGAGGTGTTGCGTTTGTCGAATTTCTTTGATGTATAACCTAGTTAGTATAATGTATATTGACATGCTGCCTTAGCATGCTTTTATGAACTTTAAAAATACCACTTTCATATGCACACCAGTTTAGCAGATTCTAGCATGTTGCAATTGAACGATAACCATTTCATCCCTGATACGAATCATGTTAGGTTTCTCGTTATCAAATACAGTCACTTGCAAAATACTTATTCCATTAGTCGATATCAATGTGGAAGTCAGACTCTTGTTTGAAAATTGTTCAAGAATTTTAATCGCACTTTGTAAGACAGTGTAGTCATTCATAATTAACTTTGAGTCTACTGCTTATACGTTGGTCCAGGTAGCTACACATCATTGGTACGGAGATTGAATTTAATCAGATGAGTGTTTAATAGAGTTATGTGGCAGTAATGATATTGATTAAGAAGGAACATTAGGAATGAGATACTTCAAGTGAGATTTACAAAATGCGTATGGAAGTGCACTAATACCTGTGCAGTCAAAGCAACCAGTTCCCGTGACTTGACGCTGTACGTAACGTAGATAGGGACTAAACTGTGGTATGAACAATCTAACTGGAATCCACATTGACAGTATGACAAACACTACAAATACACCTTACTTATCTTTCAGATAATCAGATCAAGCTCTAGCTATGCAAAAACTTATTGATATGCGTGATACGACATTACTAACTCCTTCAGACATCATTACCAAAGCCTCAGAGTAAACTAAACATTTATTATTATACCCAACAGTACTGACCCTGGCCCCGTCGCGACCTCTACCTCTTCCACGATACGATCCAAACCCATTACTTCTATAACCATTTGAGTCATTTCTATCACCGCGCGCTCCATACTCCCTGGGACTTCGCCCGTAAGGACGATCCGCAGCATACGCACTACCCTGTGAATTTTAAGAATGCCTGATATACAAAACGTACCTTCACCGGCCTTCTGTCAGGCCCAGTGACATCGGAGGCCTCTACACCTTTGTCCCCCTCGACAACAAAAAATTCAACTTCTTCATTTTCTTGAAGGGAGCGCTGCATTTTCCCTGGGTTATTTCTCGAAATAGCTGTTTGATGCACGAATATGTCGGATGAGGTGTCAGACCGAGTAATAAAGCCATATCCAGCCTTGACGTTAAACCATTTGACAACTCCTCTAACCCTGTCATCGGTCATTTCACGAGCTGCATTGCGACTCTTTCTATCGCTCATATTAAACTAACTAAATGTCCTAGAGAAGCCCTTGTCGTCGGACTTCAAAAACAGCGGCTCAATGAACTATCTGTGTCTCTTTCATGTTTGGAGGCCATTTAAACAAGTGAATGAAGAATGTGTGATTTAATGTGGCTGATGAGTGAATATAATGCATCTTCTGAACTTATCAGCACTAAACTACTAGTTTATTAGGTTAATATGTTGGATCTTCGAGCAATTAGAAAGTAAATAGCACTAGTTCAGCTGCAATATGGTGAACTAAGATACACCAGTTAATGATTTAACCCTGAAGTATCAATATCTAGATATGTTATTGCCTTTCTAGTATGCTTCTGTGAGTGTCCAGTTTTCTCTTGAATCATTCGATTGAAGGAACTGATAGGTTCCAAAAATTGATGACTTGGTGTGCAATCCTGTATGCCACGAGTATATTGTTCGTCCTTGGTTTTTCTACTCGCCTGCTATGTCCTCTGAGATGCTATTGGAAGAAACAGAGAGAACATATTAGGTTTAAAATCACTTTTCATTATTCTATACATCAAAGTTAGGTCACCTCTTAGTCTGCGATAGGTCAGTGTAAAGACGTCTAGCTTTTCTAGCCGCTTTTTTTATGGTAAACCCCGGAGTTCTGGAATTGCATGAGTGGCCGCACTCTGTACTTTCTCCAGGATACCCAAGTCACCTTTTAAACAGAAGTTTGCAGCCTGGACGCATTTCTCATGTTTAGTTCTCACCGAGGATGTGTTCACTGTATTGAAAATGACAGTATCTAACTCGGTGGATGTCCGTCTTAAAGCCCAGAGTGTTCTGATCCTCTAGCTGCGTCCTCTCGGCAATAAACCATGGCCTTAAGACCACGACTTACTGTCACCCTGTAATCCTTATGAGACCGTACTGCGGGTACAGGCACGTACCTTGTGCTGTGCCTGTTTCCCTTTGCATCTCGAAACTACATGTGGACTCATTTTGGCGCGTTGATAAGTATCAGCCACTCTTTAAACCAGCACGCACTTACTACTGGCCATATTTTTACATTGTCTACTTTGGGGACAGCACTACACTTGGAAGATCATTTACATACAGAACCTTGAGGTACTCTACTATGTACTGGTTTCCAGGTCAAGCACTTGGAATTTATTTTTATATTTCGTATTCAACTTACTAGAAAATCTTTAAGCCATATGAGGAGAGGTCCGTATACCAAGATTTTCCAACTTCAATAGCAATCTATCTGTTGACACCTTGTCATATGCCTTACTGAAGTCTATGTAGACAACATCCACTGAGTTTCCGTTGTCTAGCGCCCTTATTCAATGCTCCTTTTCTATGAAGGGGTTTGTTGTGAAAGATAAGCCTCCTCTAAATTCATGTTGTTCGCTGCTTAACAAGTTTTTGGTTCCCACGAATGTCATCAGGTCTAAATTTTTCTTACTGTTGGTTACCACTGTTTTCATATGTTTGAACAAGAGAACATTAAGCTGACTTATCAGTTTTTTGACTTGATGCTTCAAACTCAATAAACGTTCCCCCTTTTAAACTGTAATTATAAATTCTGTAAACAAAATACAATTGTCGTGTAACGGTAAATATATAATCAAAATGGTCCCCTAAGTACTCTACATTGATACTGACCTCTTTAGTTTCACGAAACCCACCCAGCTGAAGGCATTCAGAGACGCATCTGGACCATATCACTACTGTGCATCCGTTGCAACTATCAGCCATCTGAGGCTAAACACCTCCAGATACATTGACGGACTTCCAAATATACCTTAAAACCACTGCATTTTCGACTTCTGTTCACATTGAGTTTACACTCCTTATTTATAAATGTGTTACATGTGAGGTCATTGTCAAACTTCGAATAGCTGTGGCATCTCTAAAAGTGAGACCAACGTGATCTGTACACCAAATGACAAATTCTGTGTGTGTAAGATATCATCTTTCGATTTTTTTTACATGTAGCTATATTGTTTCGATATTTTCGGATATTTCCCACTTATTTATATATCTCATTTTCGTCATGACTGAAAAACACTCAGCTCATGCTATTCTGGCTCAAAAATATATAGGCTTGGTTCTGCTAAGCAGATGCTGACTACGTCGAGCGTGACATGGCAGTCTCATGTATACAGTCGTCGCAGTATTGGAGTTATACCACCCCTAAGGTACTTACTAGTGGTGATTCTAAACCATACGACATTTAAAGATATCTTTACTCAAACGTGAGTTCGTAACCAACAGACAGTCTAAGACCAAATTTTCCGCAACATCGAATTGCAACACTACTCAGCGACAAAGATGTGGCTACGTATACGAAAGGCCAGTGGTTGATCGGCCTTTGATGAAGCCTTGTTACGACAACTCTTCTTGACCCAGCTTCCTAAATACATGCGATCAGTCCTTGTCACTTTTCAAAATAACTTTGCAGACGAACGGGCTGCATCCGACGACCAGAGTTTTGAGATCAGCAGAATCTCCAGCACCGAGGCTTTTATGTCAAAAAAGCCTCAACTAACTCTATATGACATCAAAAAACCTCTGTCACACACGCTAGTTATCTTAATACTCATCATAATCACAGACGCTCCGAAACGCCCTGAAGAAGTACGTTGCAGTGCTCAAAGTGTTTCTTAACCACCTCAAATAATCTTAGAAACAGTTATTTATTTGTCTATTTGAATGGGGTTTCTGTGTGTCGGTTTCTGACTGAAATTCATTGATGAGGGCTAATGAAAACCCACAATCTAACTACTTCAGAAAAAAATGAATCAGACAACTTATTACTATGTCGGGGATTTCATCCACTTAGTTTTCAATGGAGTTTTGCTCACGGGTTAGTTACCGACCCAAAGTCGCTGAACCAGTAATGCCACAAAGGCGACGTTAATTTGCCCTGTCGATCTGCATTAGGTTCCTCAACACTGGTTACACCTTCATAAATTGTCATAATAAGCCTGCGTATTTTTACAGAAGTTCCCAGATTTTCAGACATTTAGCTCCCATAGGATGACGTTTGTTTTATGAGTGAGGGGAGTGTGGTCACCGCATATATACTGACCTGACTCCACACACCGTGGAAGATATAACAGTCACACCGACACTTGTATGTGATGTTCATACGAACTGCAGTAAAATGACTGTCGGAATCCATAGATGATCACGTTTGTGATTTCTTTTAAAATCCTGACACACATGCTGTGTTTCGCCAGACTGAAGCGTGTCTGAAGGAATCGCTTGTTGTTAGTTTTATGGCGGTTAAGAGAAACTGTTCACGAGGTTCTACGACACATTTAGTAAAAGAGCTTTGTCTTGCGAAGCATTGTTTTCTAGATACAGATAACACAGGCTAACTAGTATGGTACTTGGTCACAGAAGTGAACTATGGTCCTCGCTTTGACTTCTATCATTGTGTTTTTATAAACGTCCTAGTGGTCCATAAATTAACGTGGGTTATTTACTCGAAAATACTCTCCTAAATAATACTGACCAACTAGTTATCTGAACTTCAAACACATAATGTAGGTTTATATGTGCTAGGGAAAGCGGATGTGATTGGCCACTGGGCGTGAACGCACAGGTGCTCAGATAACTGATTCTTAAACGTTTAATTTTTTTCCTGAAATCGACTTTTATTCTTGTCTAAATGTGAGGGACTGGTTGAAATTGTGTGGAATGATTCATTATTTAGAGTCTAACCTGGTTCCCTATTATTAATTGTGGATCGAGTATCTGATATAACATGATCCATTCTACGAATCGCATTTCAATTGAATATCTAACCTAGATGCAATATAAACCGAATAAGTCTAATTTGCAAGCGTTGTTTGAAACCTAGCTCAATGTTTTTCCGTGGATTTTTATACGTAATCATCATATTTGCTGAAATCGTTAGAAATAACCATTGAAGTTAGTGACCACATGAAAACTTTCTTTTGTAAAGAATAAACGCTCATTTAAACATATTCGATGGTAAAACGGTGCACTCAGTGGTAGAATGGCAGTACTGCTAGTGCGATGAGTTACTGAAGAATATAAACCAGAACACCGGTTTTGTGTAGAAGGTTTTAGTTGCCCAAGATTTTTAACACTGTGATGTTTAAATAAGCATTTGATGCTATTTCATTCTTGTCTGTAATACACAAAGAAATAACGAATTAATGGGAAATAATGGGTCATTGATGAAGACAATTGGAGTTTTCGTTCATAGACGTTTCTATTTTGGGAACTGATATCTAACCAGTTAAGTTCATACTCCACTGATTTGACTTACAGTCGATTTTGAAAAGGCTTATGTTTACGCTTTCTATATAGGCTATACCTCAGAAGCTGCATCAGAGATACAAAGATTCCGGGATCAGTTCGTAAGTTGTGACAGCCTTTTATAAAATTTAGTATATCAGAGATTGTTTGAGATGTCTTTCTGAATCCCACGAAAGCTGCTCTATGTGTGGACACATGAACCAGCCATCATTTATACCTTAAATGCAACTACAAGCGATTCCCTGTAAGCAGAGTTTAAAGTCGACAGATTTTGTTGGGGTTTCTGTGTTCTCAGTAGCAAAGTGCAATCTATCCATAAAATCAAATAACACCAGTGATGGATTTTGCGAACCAGGCTTTCATTCAAAAAACGTTTCTAAATCGTCTTTTGAAAATACTGTACGCTTTGCATGGAACTGTGGGCTGTAGTAGCGTACATTTTCAGGTTACCACATTAACCATTAGTCTGTCCACTATTAGAATGGAAATGTTACATATTTCGGTGATGAAGTAATGGTTAACCCTGATGTCTGCTTATAGAATACTGTTAAGAAAAGTTCGAATTCTACGTGAATTTTGACCTGAATGTGAACAAATGTGGGCTTATTTACATTGGCCACAGCCTTAAGCTAGACCTAGCTATATACGAACACAGTGGAACTTCTCAGCACTGTTCATAATTTGCGTTTTAGGTATAGCACTAGTCTGAACTTTTTCGTGTATATCACATCTCAAGTATCCAAACAAGAAAGCTAACTGGATGCGTAATAACAAATTTCAGTAACATCTAGTGGAGATTATTACTTTACAAAATGTGATATCCTAGTTTCCAGTAGTTGCCGACATAGTTACTCGAGGAAATTTGAGAAAACCCAAGATGGTTTATTCACAATAGTTATGTATCGATAAGCTGTTTGTGAATAGTAATCGTTAGGCAGCTGATTCAGTTCAACGTTTGGCTGTTCACACGCTATGAGCCGAAAAGCTATTTAGAACAACTTGTTTATGGAACTAAAAATTTCCTTTTATATTTATTCTATTTATAGCAGTAAGACGAAGTAGGTTACAATCACTAAGTGGTTCTGGTACTTGTCGCCTTACATTTTATTGAGCATTCCCTCAAGCATTGTTTTCTAAATGAGGGATATTAGAGATCTTTATTGACGTTCAGCCAAACATCCATTAATATACAGGAATGGGATACTACCGATTTTGATATAGCTTAATTTTCGTAGAAGCTTGTTATGTGTAACTCTGTAGTGGCATTGATTTGTATTCACATTATTTTTTAAGCCGAGCATATTACTGTGGTGATTTATATTCAACATGTAACACACAGGAGCCAACAATGGTGAATTCGGATACAAATGAATCGAGATAATACGGCGGGGCCATGCACGCAGGTTCAACATATATAATCTCTTGAATTCGGCATTGATTATGTTTCACTCCACTAAAATCCAATGTGTTCTTAAGACATATTAAAAGTCGTGTTCCTGATTGTCAGGATAACACGGGTTGCTAAGTAATATGATATGTAGGTGGTTGGTTGTTTGTTTGGTCAGACTAGTAAATAATCTGAAAGTGTTGGATGATTTATACAGTCTCCTACCCTCATTAGTATTGTCTTGTCGTCGGATTTCGCTGTGGGAATATACATACGTTCTAGTTAGGCCAGTCACGTATTCTTGATCTGAATTATACTGAAGTGATGTAGAACAGATATTGCAAGGGTATCTAGTGTAGATATTCGTATGAGGCACGTTTACTTCGCGCTCGTTTGTGTGGTCATGCGGAGCCATATATCATTTATTTTTTCACGTCAGTACAAATCTTTACTTTTAGAATTAGGTCTACTTTTAAGGTAGCAAATCTAAGCATACTAATAACGAACTATACCATACTTCTTTATTTTTATGATACACCTTTCTGTGTTCAATGAAGCTTACATCCATTATTTGCCTCAGCTTCTGTAGATCACAACAATTTTCTAGCGCTACTGTCACATTCGTGATACGCGAATACTTTGTTTCATAATCATTATGGATTTCAGAGAGAATCGATGATCTTATTCCACCGATTCATTTTAAAACTTTTCTTTTTTCATGATGATTTCAAAATATTAAATGAGAAAGATTAGTTCAACGAAGAGTTCTCTTTTCGGCGAATTCATTTTCAAAGCTGTACAATCGCAAATATATATACTTATTTTTACAGGATGATAATAATACTTATAATAAACTTGTTATTTAACCTCACTGTCACCATGTGTAACAAATTTATTATCAGTATTATTATCATCCTGTAAAAATAAGTATATATGTTTGCGATTGTACAGCTTCGAAAGTGAATTCGTCGAAAAGAGAACTCTTCGTTGAACTAATCTTTCTTATTTAATGTCTTAATTAGTGTATTCCGTTTATTAAAAGTTTTCAGAATAGTTAACTCGATTCAATCTTCTACCAATGAAAGCTACATATATGTAGTAATCCAACAAAAAATCACCAAGCAATGCGAATGAACGGAGTAATGGGATCTAAAAACGCACAGACTATTTTAATATGTAGGTGGGAAAAGGAAGGAATCCATCAGGGCTCAAACGAACGCTTTCAAGCGACCAACTCCTAATTGAAAACCAGATTTACACCTCTTTGCAACTGAATAAGACTTACATTGAGATTGAGACTTAGAATCATCAGCAGTTGTATTAGGACAGAAGCAACACTGTCAATAGAATATCCAGTCAAATGCTGGAATTCGCTGCCGGCCGAGCTAGTCCAAGAGACTTCCCAGGAGTTCTCTAAGAGGCAACTTGATCTATACTTAAGATCTGAGGATAATATCATACTATGATTTACCGATTTTTTTCCTCCTTTATCGTCAACATACCTAGGTTCATGCCTGGAGTTATTCGTGATCCCTTGCTACTAGACACGGAAGCCTGTTAAGCGAAAGCTTCTTCTATTCCACCCACAACCATTTGAACCATTTGGCGATTACGTTGTATCATTGGAAATTCGTTTTGTATCTTGTATCAATACTATGGCATCACTTCCTCTACTGGAAGGTTGGGGGTTATCAGACATGGTGAGAATGGACCCAAATAAACTTAATAATTGTCTTGATTAGACCGCTTCTGCAAGACGTCACGATTTGTCGAAGTGACCCATGAACTGTTTTGCGTCACTTCAACCTTCCAGGTCTCAGTAACCTTCATCGGTAAACTATGCTACTGGATCGTCTTCTAGTTTCGATCTGAGGCTTGTGTTATTGATGGTTGTTGCCTATTGCTTTTAATAGTAAATGTACCTGCATTGTGTACGACCACTGGGTCTTCCACTCACCTTCCCTTTTGATCTCATTCACAGTTCTCAAGCCACTCCGCATGCTGTCCTGATACACAAAGTGCCTTCCCGCTATATGTAAACGCTTGCAAAGGTCATCAGTAGCGCTGTACTTAAAAAAGTGAGATTGTAACGGGATTAAAATCATCATGTATGATGTTGTTAGTAGATTTTGTTTTCCTTCTATTGCAGGGCAAGCAAGAATAAACGCTTTAGAAGAAGAAGAGCAAGCCCTACACACACTGAACTTACAGGATGACTCATAAGACCGTTTTGTAAACTAGCTCTCTTTCTGTACAGAACCCGCGGATTTTAATTTTTAAAGTAAACGTCTATTGGCCTCCGTCTGCTGAAGTATCTGGGAAGGCTAATATAGGTGGAGAAGTTGACCGCAATAGACGTTTATTTTGAAAATTAAAATCCACGGGTTCTGTACAGAAATAGAGCTAGTTTACAAAACGGTCTTATGAGTCATCCTGTAAGTTCAGTGCGTGTAGGGCTTGCTCTTCTTCTTCTAAAGCGTTTATTCTTGCTTGCCCTGCAATAGAAGGAAAACAAAATCTATTAACAACATCATACATGATTTTAATCCCGTTACATCGCCCCCTCTCCTAATGAGGCACTGTCCTCAGTGCCTGATCGTGGGCATGGGTATACTGTCCCTCCTTCAGGTGGTACTTCGTAAAATCTATTAACAACATCATACATGATGATTTTAATCCCGTTACAAGATCACCGGGTTACTTGATTAATACACATCAATCTAGGTAATCACATTTTCTAATCTTAGATTGTGTGTCCTCGTCGTAGTGTTAAAAAGACGGTTGTCATCTTGTCGCAGCTAACTCTGTTTAATGTTAACTGTAACAAATATAGTGGATTGAGACTGATGGTTGTGCTGGAAAGTTGATTTTGGTAGAATTTGATTATTTATGTCAGGGCTTATTGTTGTGAATTTGGAGAATGCCGAAATCACAACCGAGTCAGAGTAATGTGAATTCATAGTTTCTTGTTGGCTGTTTATAATCATATTTACCTTAATTGTTCTTGCTTCACTCATAGCGTGGAAATCGACAATTTTCGTACGAAAAAACGGGAATGTGGTAATAATGCACTTCATTAGTGGGAGACTTGGATGAATCGATCAAATGTGAACAACAAATCGTCGCGACCAATAAGCCCTTATACTAAGTCGTATTTTTATCGTAGTTGCCGATTTAGTTAGGGGAATAACATCCCTAAGTTCATGTTGATTAATATTCTCTTGTCCACTACAGATTGATGGAAATTAGTTTTTTACTGAACGGTCAGTGCATTTCGTAAGCGAAAATGCCACTAGTTTGGTGGTCATACTTGTTAATTCTCCAGTTATTTCGTTGGTTACTGTTTTATCGTCTATGTTTGGGACCGTCATTGTGGTGATGCAATGGATTAAAAGCAAAATGCATATATTAAGATTATATACGTTGAAATTCGGTTTCCTAAACCAGAAAACGAGGTTTAAGTATGTCTCTTAAACGGGTATCAGGACTAAATCCGTAGTCCCAAGAGCTTTTTGGACGGGAACGTAGGTGTTTGGATTTCCATTTGAACTAGTGAAGCAAATAAGCCAGGGCCTAATCTTTGATTCTTGGCTTTATCGCAAGTATTGATATAGATATGTGACAAAGTTCCGAAAGTGATTTGCTGTTTAGTTTAGCCTGTCTTCGAGGGGCTTAGTTGTTGGGTTACGTTTTTTAATCTGCAGTGATTTTATTTGTGGTGTGATCAGGGGAAAGTGGAAAGTACTGAGTGCTAGTGAAACATAACACCAAATCACTTTAATTATTTTCAACAGTGTGGTTAAAGGTAGGTTGGTAAAGTGATGCGGAGACCTAGTGAACGATAAAGCTCAGTAATTATTTTCTAGACTCTTTACTCAACACTTCTGCATTTACATAGTTGTTCATCAGAGCCTATTTCTTAGAACCGTAACCTCACAATATTTGTTCACCTTTTTACTTTAGGTGCAAGGAACAATCATCAATACTCATGGACTTTCGTCAGAAACCTATATTTCACAAACTAAAGTCTTGTAGGTTTCTTTTTCGGGAAGTAAAATATAAAAATGTTCCACTTCATTGCTTTCTTCATGTTTCTTATTATTTACAGACTCCAGGTTGTTTTTGACATGGGCTTTTCACAATATCTAAGCAAAACAATTTTTTATTTGATTATGTGTTGCTCAGTGTGTCCATTTAATCAAACTAACAAATTTCGGAATTTGTCTGGTAACTTCAGAGTCATGACTTTGAATGCCGCCTGACCTATCTCAGTCTGCAAATCCACACTTATTATTCTACTATACATCACATTTCAATCTCACAATTTTTAATTTAAATACTACCTTGTCAAAGAATTTTTAAATCGAATTTTAAAACCCACGTTAAATATTGCGTCTAGTGTTTATTCATTATATACATGTTCAAGCACTACTTTCCATTTGATATGCTTGATATATTAACTAGAGTAAGCTTCTAGAAATCTCTATAATAAAATCTGATTGTTTTGATCTGTAGCCCTATCTTAATAGATATAACTAAAAAATAATGGTAGTTTTTAGTAAGACTAAAATTGATTGATTATTTATTTATTTGAATACATAAATATCGGTATAAGAGGGCACCAAATATATATGCGCCACAAAAAACAATGAGAATTTGGAGAGAGGGAAAGAAAAGGTAAGGAGCGTAAAAAAAGAATAACGAACAGATAAGTGTAAGGTAGTGTAATAATAATAATGGGGGAAACAGAAACGTACAATCAGAAGAGATCTTTCAGTTAAGGAAGAAGCAATCACTTTTTATGATGAAAGTAAAATAAAGCTACAGCAGGATCGCCACTGGCTTCTGTTCTGAGCCATATCTGATAACGTTTCTACTCGAGAACGTTTATATAGAGCCGATTTTCCACCATAGGCGAGCTGCTGTATAAGTCGAAAAACAAGGATAGGCAGAGTGAGAATAAAAGAGAGTGAATAAATGACAGTAAATAATAATAACAATAGCAATAATAATGTGGATCGTTTGATTGTTAATTGAAGCAAGAAAGTATTTTCCATAATTATCGACCTGGTACGGCCGAGAGTGGGGAGAGTCCGCTCTCCCTGTCGAAATACTCTCACACGGCCGCGCGTATACAGCCTCTGCCAGGGAAGTCCTACTCACTGCCTTCTCGTGGCGGGGGTGTTGTTTACGAAAATGAGAGGACGAAAAGCGAATGTCCGGCGCTTTAACCGGATTCCAAATCAATGGTGCACATGGGCTCCAGTATCCTGCGGGAACGAATGGCGTATGAACCAATCGTTGGTCACCGGCTACCATGGGACTGCATCTCCTTACGATGCTCCACTGCCTTGTGGGTTAGACCTTTAGGTCAAAGGCTCGGGGAGTGGCCCCCTAAGATAACCACCTGCTTCGGTTTGGGCACCCGGGCAGTATCACAGCCCACACACAAATGATGAACTGTTTATGGCTATGGAAACTACTTTTGTCGCTTTGAAAAACAATCAATTGATTCAAATTATGATCACTTCAATTATTGTCATTATTAATACTAATATTATTATTGCTACTATTATTGTCATTATTGTTATTATTATCATTATTATTATTATTTTCCACATTATTCACCTTCTTTTATACTTATACAGCGGCTCGTCTTTGGTGGAATTCCGACTGTATCTAAACGTTCTCGAGTCACTGTCCGGTTGAAAATTGTATGTTACCACCGAATACGAGGACTGAAGCAGATTTTCTGAAACCACGTGCATCATTCAAACTGGCTGCCTTCAACGTTCGCACATTTATGCAGGTTGGACAACAGATAGGGCTGGCTATGTCTTTGGAAAGTCTTAATATCGACGTGTGTTGTCTATCCGAGACCCGTATTCAAGACTCTGGCGAAGTACTACAAATTCGATCTCCATCTGTCGCTTCGAAAAGCTTGTTTTACGTGCGCTTATCCGGGGACCCTGTGGCATCTTCGTCTGGTCTTGCTGGCGTTGGTGTCGCACTAAGCGCTAGAGCTGAGGCAGCACTAGTCGATTGGATCCCCATTAACAGTCGGTTATGTACTGTTAGATTAGAAAGTTCCATCAAAGTGAGAAGAAATCGGCGTGAGAAACGATGTCTTTTCGTCATCTCCGCCTATGCTCCGACAGATTGCAGCCCGGATGCAATCAAGGATGAGTTTTACCACCAGTTGTCTGTTCTTCTCCAGAAAGTGCGTTCGACAGATATTGTAGTACTAGCCGGAGACTTGAATGCTCAGGTCGGGCGTCTAGGCACAGAAGAGAGTCGTTTAGGTGGCCGATGGGGACTCGTTGGTCGCAGGTCAGATAACGGGGACCGTCTACTGCAACTTTGCGCAGACCACAACCTGTTTCTGGCTAGCACTAACTTTCGGCACAGTCATCACCGATGTGCCACCTGGCGTCCTCCCTCTGCATCTCAAGCCTGGACTCAGATTGATCACATCGCGATCAGCTACCGCTGGCGTGGTTGTGTACAAGACTGCCGCTCCTTTTGGAGTACCTATCTGGACTCTGACCATGCCTCGGTCTGCGCCAATCTTGCCTTACTTTTCAGTGGACAACGAAGTGACCGCCAGCAAAGGATTGATATTAGCAAGCTGGTTGCAACTTCTGTTGCAAGTAAGTATCGAACCGAGTTAGCCTCTAGGCTAGCTACCACTCCACCGAAAAGTATGGATGAGCATTGGTTGCAATTGCATGACGCCGTGAAAATGGCGGGAACAGTCAGTTGTGGGTTTGCGAAACGTCCCGCTTTTAAGCACTGGGTTTCTTCTGGTTCCTTACAACTCATTGAAGCCCGTCGGTCTACTCCGGGTGACCGTGAGTTTGACCATAAACGAAGGTTTTTACGTAAGGAAATTGGGCAGAGCTTGCGTAAGGACCGAGAAGCCTGGTGATCGAAGCGTGCTAATGAGCTGGAAGCAGCAGCTGCATCTGGTAATTACCGGAAGCTCTTCCAGCTCATCCGAGCCACTGGCAGCAAGAAGTCTGGTGTGAGTGAAACAATCTGCGAGGATGATGGGATGCCAATCACTAACATCCATCGACGTCTTGGACGATGGGCAGAATTTTTCGAAGGGCAGTTCAACTGGCCTGCTGCTCCAGCAACATCGGTCAGACTGTCCTGCCCTCCATGGCCGGTGACGACTGATCCACCAAATGAGGCGGAAGTTCGCAAGGAACTCCATCTCTTGAAGCGTTACAAATCACCTGGCTCAAATGACTTACCTCCGGCTCTTTTTAAAGATGGTTGTGACTTTTTGACTAAAGAATTGACGACGTTGTTTACAAAGGTTTGGGATCTAGAGAGTGTACCAACGTCATGGAATGAGTCGATAATTGTCCCTATCTTTAAAAAGGGTTCACGTCGTTCTTGTAACAACTATCGGGGGATAAGTTTACTTTCGATTGCGTCCAAGCTATTGGCTTCCGTCATTCTTCGTAGGTTGTTCAAAACCCGAGAATGATTGACTCGCGAGGAGCAGGCTGGGTTTCGTTCTGGTCGAGGATGTATTGATCATATCTTCACCCTCCGCCAAATGTTAGAACACCGCCATACTTTTCAAAGGCCAACAATCGTAGTGTTTCTTGACATCAGGGCTGCCTTCGATTCGTTGGACAGGACTGTTCTCTGGGATTGTCTATTGAAGAAGGGTGTGCCTGAGAAGTTTATTAACATCCTAAAAGCCTTATATAAAAACACCTCAGGCAGAGTGAGGGCATACAACCACCTCTCTCCATTGTTCCATTCGAGCAGTGGGGTTAGACAGGGTTGCCCAATCCCACCATTCCTCTTCAACTTTGCCATCGATGACATTCTGGAAACAGCTCTGATGAATGTAAGTAATGGTGGTGTGGATCTGTTGCCTGGAGAAAGACTTCTCGACCTTGAGTATGCGGACGATATTGTCTTACTGTGCGATAATGCCCAAGGCATGCAATGCGCACTTAATCAGTTGGCAATCAATGTCCGTAGGTATGGTATGTGCTTTGCACCTTCGAAGTGCAAAGTACTTCTACAAGACTGGCAGGATTCTAATCCTGTGCTCACTCTGGATGGTGAGCAGATAGAGGTAGTCGAGAAGTTCGTGTATCTGGGTAGCTGCATAAGTGCTGGTGGGGGTGTGAGTGATGAGATCAATGCACGAATAGTGAAAGCCAGAGCGGCTTATGCCAATCTGGGCCATCTATGGCGCCTTCGTGATGTTAGTCTGGCTGTAAAAGGTCGGATCTGCAACGCGTCGGTGAGAGCAGATTTGCTCTATGCTTGTGAAACCTGGCCTCTCCGAGTTGAGGACGTTAGACGACTCTCTGTGTTCGATCATCGCTTTCTCCGAAGGATTGCTGACATTCAGTGGCAACACCATGTCAGTAATGCAGAGGTTCGGCATTGTGTGTTCGGGCACAGAGATGATAATTCAATTGGTGTCACCATCTTGAAACACCGACTTCGGTGGCTTGGACATGTTCTACGAATGTCGTCCCAGAGAATTCCACGTCGTGCATTATTTGCCGACTCTGGGACTGGTTGGAAGAAGCGGAGAGGTGGTCAGTGCATGACATGGTGCCGTGGTATGAAAGAAAGCTGTAAAGGACTGGCTTGTGTTGGTCCTTCACGACTCCTCGGCTGGGGTCCTACAGATGGTGCTACACAGTGGCTAGAGAGGTTATCAGATATGGCTCAGAATAGAAGCCAGTGGCGATCCTGCTGTAACCTTCTTTTACTTTCTTCATAAAAAGTGGTTGTCTCCCTTACCTGAAAGATTTCTGATTGTACCTTTTTGTTTCCTTATTTCTACCATACTACCTTACACCAATCTCTTCGTTATTGTTCTCTTTTTTTTGCGCTCCTTAGCTGTTTTTCTATTTCTCTTCGAATTCTCATTGTTTTGTGTGGCGCATATATATTGGCGCTCTCTTGTACCAATATTTGTGTTCAAATAAATAAATAAATAATTTGTATGTGGGCTGTGATACTGCCCGGGTGCCCAGACCGAAGCAAATGGTTTTCTTAGGGGGCCACACTCCGAGCCTTTGACCTAAGGTCTAACCCACAAGGCAGTGGAGCATCGTAATGAGATGCAATCCCATGGTAGCCGGTGACCAAAAATTAGTTCATACGCCATTTGTTCCTTCAGGATACTGGAGCCCATGTTCACCATTGGTTTGTGATCCGGTTAAAGCGCCGGACATTCGCTTTTCGTCCTCTCATTTTCGTAAACAACACCCCCGCCACGAGAAGGCAAGGAGTAGGACTTCCCTGGCAGAGACTGTATACGTGTGGCCGTGTGAGAGTATTTCGAGAGGGAGGGCGGAGCCACTCCGCTCTCGGTCATACCAGGGCATTTGGGGTCAAGACTAAAATAACAATGTTGTTTCAAATATGCTTCTAGAACAGGTTATAAAAGAAACACGATGATATAGAGAGTTGGTGAACAAAAAGAAGTAATTTAGCTAGTCTTCTTTATTTCGGACTTCTCTTATTATTTCAGGAATTTTCATGGATTAAACCAAACGGTTCTGATTTGTAATTGTTAAAGCATAGACAGATACACCAAAACTTGTCTAAAAATATCAATAACTAAGGTTCGAGTTAGTTTATTGCATACGGTACATTGTTTGGTCCGTTCATGTATAAATAAACTAGATATACTTTTCGTCCGGTTTCAAAATCTTTAATTCTATGTTATCTTAACATGTGAGCAGAGCTCTGAAAATGATGATCAAATGTCTGCCATCTTTAAATTTTACCCGACATTATCTTTCTCATGAGCAGTATATTACTCCCATGATATAGGTGTTTATGAATTATTAGTAGTACATTGGTCGTAATGTTGAGATTGACAACCCAGCTTCTTTTACCGATGTGACTACCGTATATTAGATTCTCAGGACTAATGCAACTATCCAGATAATGGGTTTTTTATACATCAACGAGCTTATCAAAGTAAGTCTCTTGTGATTGAAGTTGATTTACATTGGTTGTTGCTACCAACATGGGAACCACTGAAAACCAGGGGTCGCTAATTATATATTTGTTTTTGGCATAAAACTCTGATTGTATTTTGTGGATATTTCAGCTCATATGCACCAACTTGAGTGAGTATCAAGGTGCTTATTAGTTGCACCAGCATAAATTTACTGTAACACAATCATATATAAGTCCACACTTTTCGATCAAGACTGATTTCTTTTTTCCCTTATGATTGGCATCTTGAATGCTTGGCAAACGCTTTTTTAGTAACCTAACTATTACCAAGTGTATAATTTCTGATTTATTACCTGCTAGCATTTCAATCTTGAAACTGCCTTTTTTTTCTAACAAAATCTAGCTGGATGGGACTATATCAAATGGTATGCAGATTCAGCAAAGTTAGTTCCTGGTTGTACAAATCCTTTGATTTTAGCAGCACAACAATGCCCAAACATGGACGTAATCAAATTGAAAGTGGCTGTTGTCCTAATGATACCTTTAATAGATTTTTCCAATAAAACATTTGATTTCTTAAGTCTACACAGTATGATAGAAACTGTTGAACAAAACCGTGATGGCTTTTTAAAGGAAGTTTTTCATGAATACAGATCGTTTTCGAATTTTGATATTTATGATTCTAAAACGACCTCGTTCAGGTAAGATAATATATTTTAGCAACCTATGGATCTTTAAAATTAATTGGGCTTAGTACTCAGCACAGGCTTTTGGTGTGCTTTCTAACTATAGATTTATTCCACTGTACAACTAGTATTATGATATGATGTTAAATGTTGGTTCATTTGAATATTTCAGCTAATTTACGGGTTTTTTATAGTTGTTAAAACACCTTAATTTTTGAGCTTCAGTATTATATACCAGTGATTAATGCTAAAAAAGGAGAATATTAAGAGCGGTCATATGAATAAACAACAAAGATGGAGTAACCTAGTTGATAATAACAATGCTAGGGAACTGTATTTCTTTCACAGCATCGAACATCCTATATAATATTATAATTTGATTGGTAATGGATAAATCTAATCAGGTATCTCTGTTTTGTTGTTGCACTTCTGTATCCTTCTTCAAAACTATCGTGAATAAAATTATGAGGTGAAATATTAATGAGACTTATGAGTAGTAACGCTAAATGTTTGTATTCCTATTTGCACCAATATTGTCCAGAAGATTATACTCCAAAAATATTGATGTTGAACTTTACTTATTACATATTCACTGTTAATCTGTCCTAGTTAGTATTAAGTTTATTGTGTAATTAAGTAAATATCACTTTTCCAACAGGTACAAGTTTGTACACTCGGCTTTAAGTCACTAATTATTTAAAGACAAAAAAAACAACACAGCCCTTAAATGGGAGAACATAAAGCAGAACTGTGATCTAGTTGAAGTTTAAGTGCTGAAACTACTAGACCATCACATCCTAACATTCTCGTTATATGCCAGTTTCTAATATAATCAGACGAACAAATGGTATGTTGATATATCCAGATTGTACCAGTTTTTCAATTATGGTGTCTCCATGATTTATCCTATCTTCTCAATGAAATTGTTATCTCAATCTTTTCAGTTATTCTGAAAGCTCATACTTATCAAATATTCACGTGCTAACCATAAGCATTTATTTATTTCTTTGAACACAAATATTGGTACGAAGAATCACCGAGTACATATGCGCCCCCGAATGCCCTGGTACGGCCGAGAGTGGGGGAGTCCGCTCTTCCCCTAGAAATACTCCCACACGGCCGCGCGTATACAGCCTCTGCCAGGGAAGTCCTACTCACTGCCTTCTCGTGGCGGGGGTGTTGTTTACGAAAATGAGAGGACGAAAAGCGAATGTCCGGCGCTTTAACCGGATCACAAACCAATGGTGAACATGGGCTCCAGTATCCTGAAGGAACAAATGGCGTATGAACTAATTTTTGGTCACCGGCTACCATGGGATTGCATCTCCTTACGATGCTCCACTGCCTTGTGGGTTAGACCTTAGGTCAAAGGCTCGGAGTGTGGCCCCCTAAGAAAACCATTTGCTTCGGTCTGGGCACCCGGGCAGTATCACAGCCTACACGCACAAATGATGAACTCTCTGTGTCTATGGAAATTACTTTTCTCGCTTCGAAAAACAATCAAATGATTCAAATTATTATCATTACAACTATTGTCATTATTAATACTATTATTATTATTATTATTATTATTATTATTATTATTATTATTATTATTATTATTTTCCACATTATTCACCCTCTTTTATACTTATAAAGCGGCTCGTCTTCGGTGAAAATTCGACTGTATCTAAACGTTCTCGAGTCACTGTCTGGCTGAAAATTGTATGTTACCACCGAATATGAGTACTGAAGCAGTTTTTCTGAAACCACGTGCGCCATTCAAACGGGCTGCATTCAACGTTCGCACATTTATGCAGGTTGGACAACAGATAGGGCTGGCTATGTCTTTAGAAAGTCTTAATATTGATGTTTATTGTCTATCCGAGACCCGTATTCAAGACTCTGGTGAAGTACTACAAATTAGCTCTACATCTGTCGCTTCAAAAAGCTTGTTTTACGTGCGCTTATCCAGGGACGCTGTGGCATCTTCGTCTGGTCTTGCTGGCGTTGGTGTCGCACTAAGCGCTAGAGCTAAGGCAGCACTGGTCGGTTGGATCCCCATTAACAGTCGGTTATGTGCTGTTAGATTAGAAAGTTCCATCAAAGTGAGAAGAAATCGGCGTGAGAAACGATGTCTTTTCGTCATCTCCGCCTATGCCCCGACAGATTGCAGCCCGGATGCAATCAAGGATGAGTTTTACCACCAGTTGTCTGTCCTTCTCCAGAAAGTGCGTTCGACAGATATTGTAGTACTAGCCGGAGACTTGAATGCTCAGGTCGGGCGTCTAGGCACAGAAGAGAGTCGTTTAGGTGGCCGATGGGGACTCGTTGGTCGCAGGTCAGATAACGGGGACCGTCTACTGCAACTTTGCACAGACCACAACCTGTTTTTAGGTAGCACTAACTTTCGGCACAGTCATCGCCGATGTGCCACCTGGCGTCCTCCCTCTGCATCTCAAGCCTGGACTCAGATTGATCACATCGCGATCAGCTACCGCTGGCGTGGTTGCGTACAAGACTGCCGCTCCTTTTGGAGTACCTATCTGGACTCTGACCATGCCTTGGTCTGCGCCAATCTTGCCTTACTTTTCAGTGGACAACGAAGTGACCGCCAGCAAAGGATTGATATTAGCAAGCTGGTTGCAACTTCTGTTGCAAGTAAGTATCGAACCGAGCTAGCCTCTAGGCTAGCTACCACTCCACCGAAAAGTATGGATGAGCATTGGTTGCAATTGCATGACGCCGTGAAAATGGCGGGAACAGTCAGTTGTGGGTTTGCGAAACGTCCCGCTTTTAAGCACTGGGTTTCTTCTTGTTCCTTACAACTCATTGAAGCCCGTCGGTCTACTCCGGGTGACCGTGAGTTTGACCATAAACGAAGGATGTTACGTAAGGAAATTGGGCAAAGCTTGCGTAAGGACCGAGAAGCCTGGTGGTCGAAGCGTGCTAATGAGCTGGAAGCAGCAGCTGCATCTGGTAATTACCGGAAGCTCTTCCAACTCATCCGAGCCACTGTCAGCAAGAAGTCTGCTGTGAGTGAAACAATCTGCGAGGATGATGGGATGCCGATCACTAACATCTATCGACGTCTTGGACGATGGGCAGAATTTTTCGAAGGGCAGTTCAACTGGCCTGCTGCTCCAGCAACATCGGTCAGACTGTCCTGCCCTCCATGGCCGGTGACGACTGATCCACCAAATGAGGCGGAAGTCCGCAATGAACTCCAACTGTCTGGTCGAGGATGTATTGATCATATCTTTACCGTCCGCCAAATGTTAGAACACCGCCATATTTATCAAAGGCCAACAATCGTAGTGTTTCTTGACATCAGGGCTGCCTTCGATTCGTTGGACAGGACTGTTCTCTGAAATGGTCTATTGAAGAGGGGTGTGCCTGAGAAGTTTATTAACATCCTAAAAGCCTTATATACAAACACCTCAGGCAGAGTGAGGGCATACAACCACCTCTCTCCATTGTTCCATACGAGCAGTGGGGTTAGGCAGGTTTGCCCAATCTCACCATTCCTCTTCAACTTTGCCATCGATGACATTCTGGAAACAGCTCTGATGAATGTAAGTAATGGTGGTGTGGCGCATATATATTGGCGCTCTCTTGTACCAATATTCATCTGTTCAAATAAATAAATAAATAAATCTCAACCTTGAGTATGCGGACGATATTGTCTTACTGTGCGATAATGCCCAAGGCATGCAATCCGCACTTAATCAGTTGGCAATCAGTGTCCGTAGTTATGGTATGTGCTTTCCACCTTCGAAGTGCAAAGTACTTCTATAAGACTGGCAGGATTCTAATCCTGTGCTCACTCTGGATGGTGAGCAGATAGAGGTAGTCGAGAAGTTCGTGTATCTGGGTAGCTGCATAAGTGCTGGTGGGGTTGTGAGTGATGAGATCAATGCACGAATAGTGAAAGTCAGAGCGGCTTATGCCAATCTCGGCCACCTTTGGCGCCTTCGTGATGTTAGTCTGGCTGTAAAAGGTCGGATCTGCAACGCGTCGGTGAGAGCAGATTTGCTCTATGCTTGTGAAACCTGGCCTCTCCGAGTTGAGGACGTTAGACGACTCTCTGTGTTCGATCATCGCTTTCTCCGAAGAATTGCTGACATTCAGTGGCAACACCATGTCAGTAATGCAGAGGTTCGGCATCGTGTGTTCGGGCACAGAGATGATAATTCAATTGGTGTCACCATCTTGGAACACCGACTTCGGTGGCTTGAACATGTTCTACGAATGTCGTCCCAGAGAATTCCACGTCGTGCATTATTTGCCGACTCTGGGACTGGTTGGAAGAAGCGGAGAGGTGGTCAGTGCATGACATGGTGTCGTGGTACGAAATAATGCTGTAAAGGACTGGCTTGTGTTGGTCCTTCACGACTCCTCGGCTGGGGTCCTACAGATGGTGCTACACAGTGGCTAGAGAGGTTATCAGATATGGCTCAGAATAGAAGCCAGTGGCGATCCTGCTGTAACCTTCTTTTACTTTCTTCATAAAAAGTGGTTGTCTCCCTTACCTGAAAGATTTCTGATTGTACCTTTTTGTTTCCTTATTTCTACCATACTACCTTACACCAATCTCTTCGTTATTGTTCTCTTTTTTTTGCGCTCCTTAGCTGTTTTTCTATTTCTCTTCGAATTCTCATTGTTTTGTGTGGAGCATATATATTGGCGCTCTCTTGTACCAATATTCATGTGTTCAAATAAATAAATAAATAACATGTGCGCCACACAAATAACTTGATTTGTGTGTGGGCTGTGATGCTCCCTGGGTGCCCAAACCGAAGCAGGTTGTTTCCTTAGAAAAACAATCTCCGAGCCTTTGACTTTGAGGTCTAGTTCATAAGGCAGTGGAGCAACGAAAGCAGATGCAGTCGCATTGTAGCCGGTGATTAACGATTGGTCCATACGCCATTTGTTTACTCAGGCTGCTGGAGCCCATGTGCACTAATGATTTGGAGTCAAGGTTTCCCAACTTCCCTAGGTAATCCCTCGATATCCACCGACCCGGTTAAAGACATTCGTTTTTTGTCCTCTCAATTTTGTGAACGACACCCGCCACGAGAACTCAGTGAGTAGGACATTACTGGCAGGGCTATATACGCGTGGCTATTTGAGAGCATTTCGAGGAGAGCTGACTTTCGCCACTCTCGTCCGTACCAGGGTATTGGGTGGCTTTTCCTTCGTTTACATAACTGTCTGCTTAGAACTGAATGTGTAAAATAAACGTTCTAACGTTATGTGCCGATGGAATGTTACGAAAGTATGAAATACATGAAAGCTAAACTGAAGTTAGATACGTGTACTAAAAAGTAGCCATTTAGCAGTATAATAACCAACAAATTATGTCGTATTAACCAGTAAAATGTTATCGAATAAAAATAACATCTGACAAACTAACTCATTAATTAAGTACACACTAATATACCTCGACTTGCACCACATCATTTATAAGATCTATCTGGCTTTCCGAAGTAAAAATATGACTTCAAATGATTTGAAAACATATGTGTCGTTCTAATATTCTATTTTACTTGTTTCTGTTGTATTTAAAGTGTAAAATTAGGTTGTTATGAAAACGATGGAATGTTTATGCTAATTAATGCTTCATCTGGTCTCTCATCCGATCTTAGTTGAAATCGGTGGATTAGGTGAGTATCGCACAAATATTATAAATTATGTGTTGTATATTTCTTTTCCATTTCTTTGTCACTGTCCAAAGTTAAATGTATTTCGGTTTTTGACTTCCTCATCATCCTGTCTCAAACTTTATTGTGAATGTATATTAGGAAAGGGTTTTTATGTAAAACTGACTTGTATGTCCTACAGTTTAGTGGAAAAATTGTAGTCCGATATTGATATAATATTTATTATTCACCTAATATCATTGGACACAATATAATGTTTCTAGACTATATTCGTGGGTTCTTATTGATATGTAAAGGGACGTTGTATTGTCTCGAGTTTTTCAACAGACACTAAACTTTATTCCTTGAATCTAGTCGGTATCACGATTCCGTCATGAATTGTTTATAAGTAGTACTGAAATATTTGATTTTTATAGGGTTGGGATAAGCTTGTTTTAACATTTACTCTGTACGAGATGACCAATTAGAATTGTTTCAATCAACGTACATTCTTCAGGTTTCTCAATGACATTTGTGCATTGGTCTATTACATATGACTTTATTCTATAGTAAACGAACCTTACTTAATTGAACTTCCTACCTCCCGACCGTTGTTGCTACCTTGACGTGGTGGTCGGGCTTGCCTATCGTGATGAATCAAACGAGCTATACTTACTGGAACAACTGTTGCTAAAGGTCCTACCACGTCAGAAAGGTCGGTTGAAGAGCAGTAAGACTAAAAGCAACAAACCCAAGGTCCGAAGGCGAAGTCGTACTGCTGACTGTACAGAGGTGTGACAGCAGTAAGGTGTTTCCTTCAGACAACCAGCATGACAGCGATGCTGCCTTCCCACAAGGAGGGGTGGGGTTAGAAAAGGTCGACCCTAAAAATGCACACCTCGCCTTATCCCACGGATATCCGTCTCCGGGGTTAAAGTCTCTACAAGTACGGAGCTAACACAAAAATTGCCCATAAAAATGTCGTGTGTGACCGGCCTCAAGCAGTTGTCCCTTGGGTACTGCGGTCACGCTCCCAGGTCACTAAGACCACCTCTAATCCAATTTCCTTTTCAGGTACCTTCAGAACAACCCTTCCACGGTGTGGGCAACCGGGAAGTGAAAACCGCCCTCATACCTCTAACAGCACTCAAGATCACTGTATTCATAATCAACCTCCGTCTTCAATTCCTATTATTCCTCCTACATCGACTTTCACCTTTAAACTTCCTCTTTCGGCTTCCACCTCAAGTGTCACCATAGCCAACGGTTCTAGTACTCAAAATACTGTCCCAGGTCTACTGAAACGTCGCTCCAAACTACACATTGCAGCCTTCAACGTACGCACCCTAAGTCAAATCGGTCAGCAGGCTTCCTTGGCTAGAACCCTAGAATCTCGTACCATTGATGTATGCTGTGTCTCTGAAACACGCATACAGGATTCCAGTGTGGTCATTCACTTGACCCCACCTTGGCAACACGGAGAGCCAACGAGATACACTCTCCGTGTATCTGGTGACCCGACGGCCAGTTCTCGTGGACTGGCAGGAGTAGGGATAGCACTAAGCATGAGGTCGGAACAAGCACTGTTAGAGTGGATCCCCGTTAACAGTCGTTTATGTGCTGTTCGGCTAAACGGTTCCGTAAGAACTCGGAAGGATAGGGACACACGTCGTTGCCGTTTTGTCGTTTCTGCCTACGCTCCCACCGACTGCAGCTCAGATGAAATGAAAGATGAATTTTACAGAGAGCTATCTGAACTTCTTCAGAAAGCTAAACGTTCAGACAAAGTACTCGTAGCAGGTGACTTTAATGCCCAGATAGGTAGTTTAAATCAAACAGAAAGGCATTTAAGTGGGTATTTTAGTATTCCGGCACAACGAACAGATAATGGTGATCGTCTGCTGCAATTGTGCTCAGACAATCGTTTATTTTTAGCAAACACAAATTTTTAACATAAGGAAAGACATCGTCTAACATGGAGACCCCCTACACCAAACCAACGATGGACTCAAATAGACCATATTGCCATCAGTCATCGTTGGAGAGGGTCAGTAGAAGATTGTCGCTCATTCTGGAGTACCTGCTTGGACTCCGACCATGCCCTAATACGGGCACGCATCTGCTTGCGCCTCACTGGATGCAAAAAGCCACAGTAAAAAGACCCATTAGAATTGAATTGAGTAGCAAGAAAACGAAAAGTAGGTTCCAGGAACAACAGGTCACAATTAAGTAGTTCTGAAAACGAGGGTGACCCAGGTGTTGCTTGGAAAGATATACAAGCAGCTGTGGAAACAGAAGTGACGTCTACTAGTGATTTAAACCTGTTGGGGACGATAGATCCCCAAACTCATATTTTAAAATTTATCTTATCGATCATCTTATTGATTAAATGTTAGATATTTTTATTGGGGTCAATTGGTGAACTAATCGATTAAATGTTTGAATAGCAGTCAATTGATGAACTATCGATTACATGCGCAAATAGGTCAATTGGTGAACTATCAATTAAATGCGCAAATAGGTCAATTAATGAACTCATTGATTAATGTTTAAAAATTTCCTATGACAATATCGATTGTAAATAATTGTATAAATACGCTGGACTTGTATGCTTGATCTGCCTGCCTGACTTGTTATCTGCTGTTGTCTGTAGAATACACTTTCTACACCTTACACAGACTTCTTGATCGAGTTAGCAGAGTTGGGGACAACGGACCAGAATAGTCTATCGAGATTCTGAATCCTTGATCCGATCGATAAGTCACTGTCATATAATCGGCTCTCTCAACGAAACATAACAAATTGGCGACGGTGGTTTTGAATTATGGACCCTACCAAACTTGAACTGTTACTTGAGCAGCAGCTAAAATTGATGCAAATGTTAATGGAGACCAAGGTTACGCCTCCTTTACAGCCAAGCACGTCGAGCTCAACCACGGCACCATCGGTATATGGCATCGCAAACAGCATAGCTGAATTTCATTACGATCCTGATTCTAATGTTACTTTTGAGATGTGGTTCAGGCGTTATGAAGATCTATTTAAATTTGATTTCGCCAATCAAGATGATGCTTGGAAAGTGCGGCTGCTACTTCGTAAACTGGGTGCAAATGAGCTGGACAAGTATTGCAATCTGATCTTGCCGTTGAACCCACGTGATCGATCATTTGCAGACACAGTTCAAACATTAATCCAACATTTTGGCGATAACTCGTCACTGTTTAATACTCGTTATCGTTGCTTGAAGCTGACCATGAACGAAGATGATGATTTTCTTACGCATGTGGGCGTCGTCAACCGTGAATGCGAACGCTTCCGGTTAAAGTCCTTGACTGAAGATCAGTTTAAAGCCCTGATCCTTATTTGCAGCCTACAGCACCAAAAGTTCAGTGACTTACGAACAAGGCTACTAAGTCGTTTGGATCAAGAACCGAAACTCACCCTGAGTGATATAGCTAATGAATATCAACGTCTCATTAATCTTCAACGAGACACTTCTATGGTCCAGAGTGGTGGTTCTAGCCGATTTGAAGTACGAGCGGTGCAACAGACACCTCACAAAAACAAACACGTCCCCGCTTCATCCAGTCCATCTCACTCCAGCTCTAGACGACAGACTAAAGCAACTCCTCCTGCTCCTTGCTGGCAATGTGGTGCATGGCACTACGTTCGAAACTGCCCATTTAATCAACATCGATGCAAGAAGTGTAAGGTTATTGGCCATAAGGATGGGTTTTGTCTGACGAAGAAGACTCCAAGTCAATCAAGAAATACCAAAAAGACCTGTCCTAGATCCCGCACCAGTTCATTGAGCTTAGTATCTTCGTGTCAAAGCTCATCACCGTGTCAGAGAAAATTTATTACTGTTAACATTAATGGGCATTCATTTAGATTGCAAATAGACACTGCATCTGATGTAACAATTCTCTCACGAAAATATTGTATCAGAATGGGAAGACCACACATGGTTCCAACAACACAAAAACCTCGAACTGCATGCGGTAATTACCTACGTTTGTTGGGACAACTAGATTGTAAAGTGTCTTTTCACGATTCAACGTTTACCGGTGTATGTTACATCACACCAGCTGATCTTAATCTACTTGGGTTAGACTGGTTTGACCAGCTACATTTAGCTGACGTTCCTTTAAGCACCGTATGCCATCTGGTGAAACAACCTCATGAACCTGAAGCATATTCGAAAGAACTAATGACGCAGTTTTCAACTATTTTCCAACCTGGATTGGGTCGCTGCTCTGTCATGAAAGCAACACTTCGATTGAAAACTGGGGCTAAGCCTGTTTTTCGCCCAAAGAGACCTGTCCCTTGTGCAACATTACAAACAGTAGATGAAGAATTGAACCGCCTTCAACAACAAGGAGTTATCACTCCCGTTTCCTACTCTGCATGGGCAGCACCTATCGTGGTTATTAAGAAGGCCAACGGCACGATACGTATATGTGCTGACTTTTCAACAGGTCTCAATGCAGCTCTGGAACAACATCATTATCCCTTGCCTGTTCCCGCAGACCTATTTACCATGCTGAATGGGGGAAGATTTTTCGCTAAGCTGGATCTAGCTGATGCTTATTTGCAAGTGGAAGTAGACGAAGCATCAAGAGAGCTGTTAACTATCAATACTCATCGTGGTTTATTCCAGTATAACCGTCTACCTTTCGGAGTCAAAACTGCACCATCTATTTTCCAACAGCTAATGGATACCATCCTATCAGGTATCCCGGGAGTCGCGGCTTATTTGGATGACATTTTAATTGTAGCAACGACATTAGAACAACTACGAGAACGCACGACATTGGTACTGCAACGCATCAGTGACAACGGGTTCCGGTTACGCCCAGAGAAATGCCAGTTTCATTTGCAGTCGGTAAAGTACTTGGGGTTCATTTTCGATGCCGATGGCTGCAGGCCGGATCCTGAGAATATCCGAGCTATCAAACTGATGCCAACCCCTACTAATGTCTCATCACTACGTTCCTTCCTGGGACTTGTCAGCTATTACTCAGCGTTCGTTCCATCGATGCATGATATTCGCGCTCCACTCAATAGCTTACTGCAGAAGAACAGCTCTTGGAACTGGACTAAACAATGTGACGCTGCCTTTTGTAAACTGAAGTCCATTATTAGTTCGGAATTGCTGTTGACACACTACGATCCAGCCATGCCGATCATCGTAGCTGCAGACGCTTCAGCGCATGGCCTAGGCGCTGTTATCTCCCATCAGTTTCCGGATGCGTCGGAAAAAGCCATTATGCATGCAGCCCGTACACTAACCCCAGCAGAAAGAAAGTACAGTCAAATAGAAAAAGAGGCTCTGGCTCTTGTGTTTGCAGTACGCCGTTTCCACAAATTCTTGTACGGTCGAAGATTTACTCTTCTCACTGATCACAAGCCTCTTCTCACAATTTTCGGTTCGAAATCTGGTGTTCCAGCCCATTCTGCAAACCGTCTCCAACGATGGGCTTTGATACTTCTGGGTTATGATTTTGACATTCAGTATCGGCGCACTCAACAGTTTGGTCAGGCTGACGCCTTGTCACGACTTATCAGCGAACACCATACGGCCGCCGAAGATACAGTTATCGCCTCCCTGATGACAGAGGACTACGCGCAGTGCTACCTGACAACTGCTATTCGTGCTTTGCCAGTCTCAGCAGCTGAAATACAATCTGCATCCAAGAACGACTCCATCATAAAGAGAGCGATGAAATACGTCACAAATGGCTGGCCGCCGACTGGACTCGATGGTGACTTGAAACAGCTTTACCATCGTCGGGACTCATTATGCGTCGTAAACGAATGCTTGATGTTTGGAGATAGAGTAGTGGTACCAGAATCCCTAAGATCAAAGGTGCTAAAGCAATTCCACACTGGTCATCCTGGTATAAAACGAATGAAATCCATCGCCAGAAGCTATGCTTATTGGCCCCTCATGGACCAACATATCGTGGATTTAGTAAGCAAGTGCACACAATGTCAGCAAGCAGCTAAGTGTAACGCGAAAATACTACCAGTCCCATGGCCACAGCCTGAGTATCCCTGGTCCAGGATACATGTCGATTTCGCAGGCCCAATTAACGGAATCACCTATCTAGTTGTTGTCGACGCCTTTCTGAAATGGCCTGAAATCAACCCTATCATACCGCCAACGACAACTAAAACAATACAGATCCTCACAGAAATTTTCTCTCGAAATGGTATACCAGATGCTATTGTGTCTGACAACGGGTCACAGTTCACCTCCAGCCAATTCCAGTCATTCTGTCAACGACTAGCCATAAAGCACTTACGCTCGCCACCATACCACCTGCAGTCGAATGGGCAAGCAGAAAGGTTTGTGGATACGTTTAAGAGAGCCTTGGCTAAAACAAAGGGGGAGGGGACGCCAGCAGACGCGTTGCAAAATTTCTTATACGTGTATCGAACAACACCAAATGAAACGTTGCCGGAGCGAAAGTCCCCAGCCGAGATCCTAATGGGAAGAAGACTGAAGACAATCCACAGCCTGATGCATCCAAGGAATGCACCGACACCAGTACGGACAAAGTTTGAAAAGCAATCCACGTACGAAGTGGGATGTCCGGTGTTTGCCCGTGATTACAGACCGACCCATAGTCCATGGACAGAAGCGCGAGTGGTCAAAAGAGTTGGCCGAGTCATGTACGAAGTTGAGGTAGGTAGTGACAGGTGGCAACGCCATCGGAATCAGTTACGCAAACGGTTAGCCCCAGACCGCCCATCAACAGAATCAAATATTCCTCTTGACATTCTGCTAGACACATTCAACTTACCGGCAACCCCACCACAAGAAAAACCTCAACAACAAACTGAAACACGTTCAAGACGGTGGCCTATCCGAGAACGGCGAGCAACAATCAGGATGCAGGTTGACCCCAGGAAAGCCCGCTATTAAAAAGGGGAGGAGTGTTGGGGACGATAGATCCCCAAACTCATATTTTAAAATTTATCTTATCGATCATCTTATTGATTAAATGTTAGATATTTTTATTGGGGTCAATTGGTGAACTAATCGATTAAATGTTTGAATAGCAGTCAATTGATGAACTATCGATTACATGCGCAAATAGGTCAATTGGTGAACTATCAATTAAATGCGCAAATAGGTCAATTAATGAACTCATTGATTAATGTTTAAAAATTTCCTATGACAATATCGATTGTAAATAATTGTATAAATACGCTGGACTTGTATGCTTGATCTGCCTGCCTGACTTGTTATCTGCTGTTGTCTGTAGAATACACTTTCTACACCTTACACAGACTTCTTGATCGAGTTAGCAGAGTTGGGGACAACGGACCAGAATAGTCTATCGAGATTCTGAATCCTTGATCCGATCGATAAGTCACTGTCATATAATCGGCTCTCTCAACGAAACATAACAAAACCACAGGGTTACAAAAAGACAATGGATTTCTTCAATGTCTATTGCACTGATGGATTCTCGCAAACTCGTCCCATCAGGTTCTGAACATGATGAAGAGCGAAAACAAATCAGATCTAGGTTAAGAAAAAGTCTAAGAAACGACTGTGAGCAGTGGTGGGCAACGAAAGCAAAAGAGATGGAAAAGGCGGCGACTATAGAGAACACAAGACAGCTTTATAGACTAATAAAAGAAACTGGAATTAATAAGTCAAGTGTAAGTGAGATTATTTCGGAAAAAGACGATACTCATCTACTCCCAGTCCAGACGTTTAGAACGATGGGCGGAACACTTTAGGGAACAGTCCAGCTGGCCTTCAGCGACTCTACAACTACCCTCCATTCCCAGACAGTGAATGGAACATTGAAGTAGGTCCCCCGACTCTTGCTGAAGTTCAAAAGACTATAGTTAATCTGAAACGAGGAAGGGCAGCTGGTCTAGATGGATTGGCTTCAGAGGTCTTTAAGGATGGTGGTCCAATTTTAGCGATTAGGTTGACTAATATTTTATATAAGATCTGGGAGTTGGACGTTATCCCATCTGACTGGTCACAATCAATTATCGTCCTAATATATAAGAGTGGGTCAAAATCATCCTGTGACAACCACAGAGGTATTAGTTTAACAAACATAGTATCTAAAATACTGGCCTCGATAATTATCAAACGCCTAACTAAGACTCGTGAACTACAAACTCGAGAGAACCAAGCTGGCTTTAGACCTGGTCGTGGCTGCATCGACCACATATTCACCATTCGTCAGGTTCTAGAACACAGGCATACTTATCGGTGTCCGACAATGGTGGTCTTTCTTGACTTGAAAGCAGCATTTGATTCGGTAGACCGAGAGATTCTGTGTCAGTGTCTGTCACTGAAAGGCGTACCTCAGAAGTACATAAACCTTGTGAAGGCTCTTTACTTGGATATTACCAGTCGAGTCAGAGCTTATGGCAAACTGTCATCTGCTTTTGCAACCTCAAGTGGTGTCCGTCAAGGCTGTCCACTTTCTCCATTTTTGTTTAACTTCATCATAGACCTATTGATGGAAATAACATTTTCGTCTACTGAATTCTCGGGTATTAAATCTTCTTCCATGAGGTCCTTTTATCGACTTAGAATACGCAGATGATATAGTCCTGTTTGGTGAAGACGCTGACAAAATGCAGAGTCTTTTGATAGCACTAAGCAACAATGCCAGAATGTTTGTAATGCGCTTCTCTCCCTCTAAATGCAAGTTGTTGCTTCAGGACTGGCCTGCGTCAACACCTGAACTAAGGATAGGGAGTGAAGTAGTCGAACGCGTTGACAACTTCACTTATCTTGGAAGTCTGATTAGCCCTAATGGGTTGGTGTCTGACGAAATCTCAGCACGGATTCGAAAAGCTCGTTTGGCTTTTGCCAACTTACGTCACCTTTGGCGAAGGCGAGATATCCGTCTATCAATTAAAGGACGAGTATACTGCGCGGCAGTTCGTTCTGTTTTAATTTACGGTAGCGAAGCATGGCCTTGAAGAGTAGAAGACACTCGTAAGCTACTAGTATTTGACCACAGATGCCTTAGAAATATTGCTGGCATCTGCTGGGATCACCGGGTAAGTAATAGTGCGGTTGGACGCATGGTATTAGGTAATGATGGTAAATCAGTTGATGAGGTTATGAATCTTCATCGACTGAGAAGGTTGGACCACGTGTTGCGTATGCCTGAACACCGATTACCACGACGTGCAATGCTAACCGGGGTAGGGGATGGTTGGAAGAAAGTTAGGGGCGGCCAAACCAAAACGTGGCATCAGTGCTTGAAGACACTAACTTCTAGTCTGAGCCATGTTGGTAGATGCAGACTACTTGGTTGGGGTCCACGTGACTATCTTAACCAACGGTTGGAGACTGAGTGACATGGCTCAGAATCGATCACAATGGCGTCGGTGTATACACTCCCTGTCTTCCCTTGAACTAAGAGATTAAAATCACTTCATATCTTTCTTTCTACTAACTAATTCTTTCTTCCTGTACTATATCCTTATACACAATCTTTCTTTTATATATTACCACCATTGTCCTAACCACTACTTTGAATCTGGTGTTTATCTTGCTGTGCTAATGATGTATGGCAAGGTGGACCGATGCATATATGTGCCTGGTCTTAGGTTGTAGCTGACTGACTGTTTCAAAATGTGTACAAATACATTTAACAACTTCAAGAAGTCTGCTGATCATCACTGTACATGTTAAACTGATCAGCGGTGATATGTCTATGAACACTTGTAATCTATTGCATACGTAATTTTTAATTTGTTTGTTACAGTTGAAATTGTCTGGACTCATTGCAACAATGCAGACATTCGAATATATCTATGTTTTGGAACGTAAATCATATTATATTTATTGTTAATTCGCCTACACGTTGGGTTTTATGTTGTTCGTATCATTGGTTGTTAAAACAAAAGTTACAAATATTATTCATGAGTTGGTATGCAAAAACTGCGAAGCAAAAACACAATTTTCAAAATGAGTGCTTTCTTTTTTTTACATATTTTGAATCTTCTACACACTTTTAATTAAAAATTTTTACATAAACTTATTTTGATTGGAACATTGTTTTAACGATTGTACATCAGAATTTTCTAACATTGATTATACATAGCTTATATTTGTATATAAATCTACTTGTCTTTTAACTACTTCTTTATTTGTGATTTACTGTCTGCGTCGACCAGACTGCTTTCATTTTTTTTGTTTCACCACTATGCGGCTTAGAGTAAAAATATTGGAGTATAAATATTGTTTAAATAAGACTGTCATTTCAATGCATTTGGTTAATTCGGTATTTTTCGACGACTGTAAAATCATCAACAATAGTGCATGGAGGTTACACATTAAAATTTTTCTATCTGTTCGAAATCTACTTATTTACTTAGATAGTTGACGACCCTTTTCATTGTAGAGCAAAAATAGCTCTATTTAACCTAACACAAAATTAATAAATACACTATTGTAAACTACTGTCGTAGAATATACATTTTTCTGCTTTTAAGTGCAGTAAATGACAAATTACTTACTTAAAAATTTAGTAGGATGTAATATTTGAAGAAGCTGTAGCCTAATGAAAGGGTTGTAATCACTTTGTCAATAAATGTTCTATAGAAAGCTTAAAGTATACAAAATTTAGATGGAAATAAACGGTAGGTGAAATTCTTGATAATATGATGAAAATACAAAGAAAATCGCTCGAACTCATTAAACTACAGTAAAATGAGTTAAGCTATGTCATCGAGCTATATAAATAATAATAATAATATGCTGTTGATAATTCTAGCTCAAAGTTTTTAAAACGAAAGAGATTTATTATAGGGCTTAAGGTGAAAAGTTTTATTGATATATAAGGAAGGTTTCCAGTGAGTTGTTAATACAATTACTATATATATATATATATATATATATATATATATATATATATATATATATGATTGGCGAAATTTTCGGACGTCAATAATCAGTGAAACAAAGTTAATTTAGCTTTGCTAAACAATACAAGAATTGTTTTTTGAGAATACATGTAATAAAGAAGGCCGCGTATGACTTTAAACATTCTATACGACTCATGTTGTAAGGTCTTTAGAGATAAGTGTGAACTTGACTAAAAATTTGTCAATCATCTATAAAACAGACTAAATACATGTGATGGTGGTCAATATGGAGAAATTCATTATGGGATTATTCGATATCTAGTTTAAGATTCATTTAGAAAATACAGAGGCTGAAGTTTCCGAAAATAATAAAATGTGAGTGTTACTAGTGTCGTTTTTCGTTGAACGACGAAACAGTCGACTTGTCTTGTTAACGATGTGCAGCAGCTCGTATTTATGGTTCGTCAACTATCTGGTAACTGTAAACAATCCCTCGACCAGACGAGCATGAATAAGTGACTTGCATCTACATCCACTAGCTTGCCTAATTTGTTAGTTACATGATATTTGGCGAAACATGTCTTCGTGTTGATGAGGATGTTGTCGGTCGCTATGTTAAGCCCATATAGCTTATTCTAGCTTCCGGACAAGCCAATTTACTCATTTTCTCTGACTCACATTTTCGCTTATTAACCTTGACTGTTTTTATATGAGCGTATGTGTACACTTCTTACCCTATTCATCGCGTATCTGTAGCTTGCTTTTGTTCGGCTACAAATATCGATTAACTCTTGATTAAATATAGTTGGGTCACACGCCTTCTACACCGTGGATCATTTCACTCCGTTTCTTCGATCGTTTGTATCGATTAACAATTGTACGAAATACACGTATTCAAAATTCACTCTTGTATTTGACTTATTTAATTCCGTTATGCACTAACGCGAGTTAAGTCGATGATTATATACGAGAATAGTCAGGATGTATATTTGGACAGCAATTATTTGATAATAATCAGAAACGATCCATATGGAGTCAGATATAAGGCCACTAAAAACTTATCCTTTAGCTCAAGCATTACTTTTAGTTGACTACAAAAGATAGACTGAGACTACTTTTTCACTGCTCTCATTGATTTAGAATGTAGCACATTGCTAGTTATAGCTTCGTTACAACGAATCCTCATAAATAGAGATTTACAGTCTATATATATATATGTATACCATTCCGCACACTGTATACAAGTCAGTATAAATTTTACCAAATTTAGTTACTTGTTTGTGGTGTTGCCTGAGAATATATTTCTAGCTCCTTGTGAGTATCGGGTTAAGTTTTTCCTATAATCAATGGATAAGAAGTTAAGACGTTTATATTGAGGTATAGGTGAACTTTTTATATATACACTTATACTGACAGATCCACCTTCTTTTCTGTTTGGAAAAAATTTCGGAAAAATAAAATTTGTCAGGTGCCTCCTCATAAATGAAGTTAACTTTCAAGTGTACACTGTTATATTACCCTAGAAGTTCTTATGTAAAAATCTGATGAATGATGCAGCAGCAAAAATCAAGCTTATCAATTGCCTTGAGGGTCTTATTTCCTGATTTTGTAAAATATCTATTGAGATAGGGTTTGAACGTGAACTTTCTATTCACTCCGCCTGTTTATTGTGTGTTATTAAAGACGAGATGAGCGTTCAGTATACATCTTGGAAGTAATTCCTTAGGATTAATAATGGGAATTCTGATGTTGATTTGCTTTTTTGATGGTTGCTAGCACAAAATGCTAACCATCTCAGTGAATGATAAATTGATGGACAAAGAAGTAATATATAGAGATATATGCTTCCTCTCTAAATGAATATATTAAAACCTGGAAATGAAATCGAAAGCTTCCCTGACGTTTTTGTTAACATAAGACCACGAAGATTCCGGGGTGCATCTCAGAGAATGAATTATATCCGCATTTTACGGAGTAGATAATTAATATAGAACAACTCGATAAATGCTTTGACACAGGTTGATTTCATGTTGATTGTCAGTAAGTCAGCTACAACGTAGGACCAGGCACATATGTGCATCGGTCCACGTTGCCATACCGCATCAGCACAACGAGATGAACACCGGATTCAAAGTAGTGGTTAGGTCAATGGTGGTAATATATAAAAGAAAGATTGTGTATAAGGATATAGTACAGGAAGAAAGAATTAGTTAGTAGAAAGAAAGATATGAAGTGATTTTAATCTCTTAGTTCAAGGGAAAACAGGGAGTGTATACACCGACGCCATTGTGATCGATTCTGAGCCATGTCACTCAGTCTCCAACCGTTGGTTAAGATAGTCACGTGGACCCCAACCAAGTAGTCTGCATCTACCAACATGGCTCAGACTAGAAGTTAGTGTCTTCAAGCACTGATGCCACGTTTTGGTTTGGCCGCCCCTAATTCTCTTCCAACCATCTCCAATACCGGATAGCATTGCACGTCGTGGTAGTCGGTGATGTTGATTGTCATTATCAGTTGGCATCATAAAACAACCCACTTATCCACAAAATTATTCAATCTAGTTGTGAAGTACATAAGAAAATGTAAGTTAGATAGTCGCTTTGTCAAATATTGAAAGTCGTAAGTGAAGACGTTCGTATGGATATTCGAGATTGATTATAATAACAAGAACCCTTTACTAGTTAACTGGTATAATTTAAGGCATACCAAACTTATTGCTGAATATAGTTGTTAGCCGGATATAGATTAAGGGTCACGAAAAGGTTCAGAAAACTAATATTGTAAGAATACTTCCAAAGTCCATGATGACTCAAAACCAGTCATATCTAGCGTGAGGCCTGCCACGTATGTGCATATGTCCAGTTTGCCACTACACATGACAGCAAGATACCAGAGTTGTATAAATAATAACAGTATTAATAGAAGAGATTAGACGTAGATGATATGTTTGGGAAAACATAGGTTCGTGAAATAAGAAAACCAAGAAACTTACTATGTAAAGGCAGATAAAGACTGAATACATCTGCGCTACGGAGAACTATTCAGAACCTTGTCAGCCAAAGTCTCTAACCACAACTGGCCCCCTTTATATAGAAGTGAATGAGATAGGTACTATCAATACACTCCAAACTTATAAAACACGTGCTCTCAGAAGCGTATTAGTTGTTGTCACTTCTCAACTAAAGCTATTTTCAAAGCTTCCAAGTGTTAAAAGCTATAAACTTGAGTACTTTCAAATAATTGGAAAGATGTTAACAGGTAAGTACATTGTTGTAAAAGCTTCGTTACATAATTTTTAAATAACTTTAGAAAACAAATAAGTTGTTTTCAAAATAATATTTAATATTCTAGATAATTTGAAAAAGATAAACAAACTCGAGGGAGTAAAATAAATTATGAACTAAAGAAAAGCATTTTGTTTTCAGAGAAGAACGAGGAATAGAGGAGGGATCGGTCACATAAGCATTGACTCAATCTGGAGGTTTTAAGTTATATTTACATGAATTATTCATAAATTGATTAGTTACGCTGTCATTAGTAGAACTTTGGGAAGTGAAGTTGGTTGATTCTTTTGTTACACAATTTGTAAGTATTTCTGACGAACCATTTTTTGTATTGACATTAAAAAACCCCATTAAATAAGGATTACACGAGTTTGAAGTTGGTGTATTTAGTGAGCTATTTAATACATTTCCAGAAGATGATGTAACATAATGAACTGAATTTAACTGTGGAACTAAAAGTAATCGATTTGTGGCCATTTGTGCAGTTAAAAGAAGGCTAGAGGATAACGGAGTTAATGAAAGAACATTTTGTGATGGAGATACACTAACTGGAACATATACCACATTTTTACATTCAGATGAGTTGGAAATGTTAGTTGCCTGAGAAATATTATTACGAAACGCTTCATTATTTAACGACACAGTATGACCATTTTGACCAGAATCTATAATTGTA